TGCATCACGTTGCATCTGGAAAGACGAGAGAGAAGACTTGTTTTTCACATGTGGGAGTTTGGAGACCGGATCAATCAAGATGCAGTTTAGATGTAATGCAAACAGGAATGCCAATGTTATTCAATTTATTCAACCACAACATGTATGTTGTATTTTCCTTTTAAATTTTGTTGCTAACTGAGAGTTGATTAGTGAGTTAGGGCTGGTACTCTATTTTTCACTGGAAATAATCTTCTAATGATGTGACAAAGGCCTAGTCATAGAACCAACCAGCTAGGAACTATTATGGAATTTATGATGTCTCAAAGTTAGGTACTCTAGCCGAGATCGATCTTCACAATGAATACGAGAGCTGGGAAACTGACATTCTATAGACTCATAGTGTGGAAGCAAAATCTGTATCTTTTAAGATGCTTTATATCATTTAATCATTCATTGATTTAAAATAAACATTGAAATGTTTTTATTCTTACTGTCAACTACTACACTTTTCATTTAATTTAATTTAAGTAAAACATGCATCAGCTTTAAAAGAAAAGTAATGCTAACACTTTGAGACATTGTGATGCCAGTTGGACCAAGCCAAATCCTTCCCTGAAGTTGTCCTATACCTTGAGGCTAAAGCTGCTGGAGTTTTGACCTGCTTAGAGAAAAGTTTAACAAGCGAGGTAAAATACTACCTGTGCAAGAATAATTTGCATTTTTTTGTTTAGTCCATTATTCCTATTCTGAAGTGTCTTATTGTCTACCACAGAATCCACCTCCCCCTCTGCATACTCAGGTCAAAGGGCCATAGAGAGCAGACACCGAACCTTACGATGGCTGGACACAAATGTGGTTCCTACCAGGGGAGCGAAAATGTTGCCTAAGGTTAAAAACTTCTCCAATTAACCCTCATTACCTAGAAAAAGGATTTGAATGAGGCCTGTAACCTGAGATGTCTATCAGTCTGAGGCAGCGCTGAGCAGAGACGGGTGCAGCTTTCATCATCATCAAGTTCAACCACAGGAAACGCACCACCTGACGTGTGACAGGGATTGAAGATAGTGAAACAGAAAGAAAAAGGTGCAATATGCAAACTTATACATAACTGCTTTTGGGTTAGGTTTGATTACTTTTGTCAAAAATGGTAAACTGCTAATGAACCTGATTTAGTCCTGGATTATAAATGGGGCAGTTTTGGTAATAGCAGGAAATTCAGGAATGGTTTTATAATAGAATCACTATATAATGTGCTATTCCTTAAGCTGGAAAATTGTATCTGAATTTATTGGATGTAAAAACACATTTTAAAAAACATTTCAATATGTTTAAAGTAAAACTGTTGAGGAGGTACTTTGCGGATGAGTTTCCACTTAAAGCTGGAGTTCTTCCTGTTTTGTTCAACAAATAATACATTTGTCCAAACACAAAATGTGACATACTGTCTTGATTTTATTATAAAACATTTTAATATTGTTGAGCTTAACGGCTGAGCAATAGTTGAAACGTTTTTACAAAGCTGTGACTGAGGCCAAAAAATACATGCCTGTGTGAAGTAGTTTTAGAGCCAACTCTGTAGGAGGATCTTGGAGTGACGTCGTTGTTTATAGTTTTTCGGTTTTGGTTGTACGGCCCGCTGGCGACAGATTATGTTTTTTTTTTTTTATTCTTTCGGAAAGAACAGCAAAAAACGGCTGCGATAAAGTGGTTGCCCTTTTATGCTGTTACCTAAGGTAAACGTAGAACAGGAAGCCGGAGGGATGAGGGGAAAAAAATTCATTAAAAAAATTAAAAAAGTCACTGCAGACTTGTTCACTCATTCATTCATTCATGAAGGATGATTCATTTTAAACATCGCATTTTGGTTGCTCATCCCCGCGGCTTCCTGTTCCACCTTTACCGTAAGCAACAACAAAAAGGGGCAACCCGCTTTTAATGTGCTTTTCTGCGACGGCGAAATGCTGGGCCACTTTACCGCAGTGAAAAACGCGAGAAATGGATTTTCACCACGGACCCTTCTTGAGTGAAGGGTCCTGGGTTTTCTATGAAGAAAGAATAAATGTCTCAGAGTCCCAGTCCCAGCAGATTGGTGCCAAAAGAGAGGTGAGTCTGACCAATGTTGCATCCCAGGTCTCATATGGGCTTTGAATTTGTTCAGTTCGGTCTCATATACTTGCTTGTCTTTATATCTCCTCTGATCTTCTTGCGTTAAAGTGCTTATATAAAGTGCTATTCGCATCCATGCTTCAGTATGCGCCGCTCTGTCTTCTTGCCACACAGCGAGGGGCGCATGCGCACGCGGGTGTTGAGAGCTGGAAACTTGGTTTTTGTTGTGATCAGAAAATCACGTACACCAGCTTTAAACCAAAGTGTCTAAGAAGTTCATAAGACTGATTGGTGCAACATTATTCATGATCATTACTTTTGATTTTGCAAGTGATCTTGGGAACAGTGATACAACCAAAAACACACAGGAGTCAAAACACACACAAACGTCACGTCACACTTGTTTGTCTTATTCACTTTAACTAGAACATGTCTGGTTTACCTGCGGAAAAGAGGCTTTCCATCAGTTTCAAAAACTGACTGAACATGAACACAGCCACAAATTGGTCTAGCTAAAGTGATCATGACCTAAGAATATGACCTGAAACCAATGATCTCCTTCACTCAGTTGTGTACAATAGTACACAATTATACAATTATATACAATTTAGTACACAATCATATTGTAATATGAATGATTTCTTCATGAACTGGTATTTTTCTTATCACCATGGCTGCATACAGGGCAGTCATGTGACACAGCCATAAACCGCTATAAAGTGAGATGGTGAAACATTACGTAGTTACTCATTGATGTGGGTCGCTCTTGTCGTGGAGCTCCTCTGTGTTTCCTTGATTGACCCACTGAGTGACCTGTGTAATTGGTCCACACAAATCACTAACCACAGGGCGCTGGGTTCCCGTCCTGTGTCTGATGGATGTCTATGGGCTGCCACTGATCACAAAACTGATTACCCTCCTCCACTGATACACCTGGCCACAATTTGGCCTTCGACACCGGAGTCGTCCAAAGAGGATACTGGGGCAATAACACAATTTACCAATTTGTCTGATCTTTCATTAAACTAAATAGATATGAAATACTTAAGCTGTAACATAAGAAAATGGCTGCGCATCTTATAAAGGACTTTTATTATACCAGTCCCAGTGCTTGGGGTCCACTTTGCCCATTTTACCTAAAAGGGCGTTCTAGCTCTAATTAGAAATAACATTGTATTCAGGTATTTTCAATGTTTGGTAAGTTATTGTAAAATTGTAACATTTATAATAATAGTTACTGGGATAAAAATTGTAATATATTTCTATTACAATATTACTGCTTTTAAATTGTATCTTATAACATGTATCTTAACCTACTCGGAGTTACTTGCAGATACTGTACATTTGTTCCACAACACAATTTTATCACACAATCAGTGTTTGTTTTTTTGAAATATTTTGGCCATGTTAGGAGCAGAAAGTATTGAGACAGTGACAAACCAAAGCAAAGTAGTCTGCATATAACTTGAGTTACAGATTGTAACTAACTAGTTATTACCAGTTTTGAACCAAGTTATTCTACTGTTACTTCAACAAGGAAGTAAATAGTTATTGTGCATAGATGAATGGAATTGTTTGCACTATATGGCAAACATTTGTAATTATAGTAAAGTAGTAGAAAATCAGTGTATTGGCCTCTATTTTCACTAGTAAGTAAGTAAGTAAGTAAGTAATCGTTATTTATATACCGCCTTTCACAGACCAGAGTCACAAAGCGGTTTACAATTGTTATTATTTTTGGGCATTGGTCCACTCACTCCACACAGAGATGGGAGCGGGGAACCACTACTACCGGTATTGCCACTCTTAATAACCTGTTGGGGCTTTTTGCTCAAAGTTCATAAACTATTTAATGTCCAATATAATATATAGAAAATGAATGTCATAACAATTTAGAAAGAAAATATAACCAATCATAATTTGTGGTTTTGAGTTGTAAAGTTTTATAGAAGATTTAGCTTCTGTGCAAAACAAGAAGCACAGCTCATGTCGGATTCTGCGGTGAGCTACTCCAATGACACTTTTATTGGTGAATGCATGGATTTCACATTATTCCAAAAACATGCAGATACTTGGGATCCAAATGCTTTTTCCAAGGCTATCATTACAAGATGTCTCTCATAGCAAGCATTTGTTATTTATCCGAATACCCTTGAGCCAGACGCCGGCCTTGTTAAATAAGGTCCAGTTTGCTATTCGAGATGATTTACAGCACTTGCACATATTTAGAGGACAGTAAAAGTAGCTATTAACATTTTTAAGATAGCATAAATCTTAACTGGGGTAAAGAAATCTGTGCTTTGTTGATGGGCATATTTAACAAAATGCAATTGACTTGAATTGAATTGCAATCAAACAAATTGATAATGTCACTCGATAATTCCTTTGCGTTGAAATTGTGGGTTGTAAAGAGTTATGATTGTCAATGTGTAGGCAGGTCACGGTTGTATTTTCCAATTCCCACTACACAGATCTCCCTCCCTGGAGCAGCAGTAGTAAGTATATCATTACCTTGAGTTGTTTGGGGGCGGTCTGAACCCTTCCCTCTCATGAATATGGAGTTTGCAGGCTGCATGGACACTCCCTCCTTGTTGAACTTGTGCAGAGAGCGCTTCTTCGGACTAGGAGTCAGTCAGTCAGCAAGCAAGCAGTGTACTAGGCTGACGCATGGCTACTGAGTAAACTTTCCTTTCTTCAACAAGTGGACTACGAGTGGAGTTCGCTGCAGCAGTGGTACTTTGTTTAGCGTTATTGAAGCTTTTTTTTTTTTAGGGGAATTAGCGTGGAAGAGGTGGCCTGTCTTATGACTCGTCCCCAGCCGTGCATGTTTAAATCAGAGGAGAGCACAGGAGCCGTGTCTCGGCCAGAAAACTAATATCCAACAACCGTGAGAGGACAGCGCTGGAGCAGGCATGGTTTGGAGACAAGCTTCGGTCGTGGCCGTCTTGTTACTCTGCTTTTTCACCAAGGTACACGCGTTTACTTACTCAAACAGTGACTAGTTTTTTATGTCTTGTTATGTTTTTTCCCCCGTAGCAAGTGACAACTGTTAAAAGGCGGCTATGCTAACATTACATGGTCAAAGCTTCCCGCGTGCACTATTCCTATGATAGCTTTTGCCTACGTTATAACGTCATTATTCCCAAATGTTTGCCTGCATGCTGTACGCGTTCAAGCACACTTTGAATGCGGACATGTGTAAAGTTTTGCAAGTTTGACTCACGTTTGTGTCTTCAACAGGTGTCAGTGGGGTCTGGACAATTCGAGCTGCAGATTTTATCAATGCACAACGCTAATGGGGAGTTGCACAGCGGAGAATGTTGCGATGGCGCACGGAACACCGGGGATCGGAAGTGCGCCCGGAGCGAATGCGATACGATTTTTAAAGTTTGCCTGAAGGAATACCAGTCTCGGGTCTCAGCTGCAGGGCCCTGCATCTACGGAATGGGATCTACGCCTGTCCTGGGAGGGAATACGTTTTCTTTCAAGAGCGCTAACAGGAATGACAAATCCAGGATTGTTTTGCCCTTCACTTTTACCTGGCCGGTGAGTCTTTTATGTTTTTGGAGCCTACTTTCGTTTTTGTGCATCTCAACGAGCTTCTTCAAGCGAAAATGAGAAAGAAAATGTCTGTTTGCAGTTCAGTTCAGAGCAATTACCATGTGTCAGTCACCCACCTCGACCCCGAACCCACCACGACAGAAATCACAACAAACTAGAAGCATGCACTTCTTTTGTGGTAGTTAGGCTCTTTGTGAATTATCCTTTTGAACAGGACCTCCTGGTTTGCCATAATTTCTGTGCTTTTACCACAATCTGCTGGTATATATCTGCTTCAGGCCTAGGCCTTTCTTTTTTCTGTTTTTGATTTGCATATTGGACAAGGCTGCTATACTATTAGGATGCAAAATAGATTTTATGGACTAGTGTGAAAATGTTGACACCCTTTGGACACTCTTTGGCCATTTCTCTATAAACACTGTAGTTACCTGCTATAAGAGCCTAATAACACAGTCAAAAATGTCACTCCCTCTTCAAACCAGCTCTTGTGTTGCTTAGTGTAAAAAAATATAGAAAAAATCTGAAGTTTGTCTTTCCTTCGTGTCAGCTCTTCTTGGTGTGAGAGTAAATAAATGGCCCTGACGCGCTTGTGGGTGGTTGTAGGTCTGTGTGAGAGAAGATTTGCCATGGAGCACATTTCGATATAATGAAAAGTGTGCTCACTCCACATAGACTCTCTAACCCCACACTTGGCCCAATGCCCCCACCACCAGTGTCTGATACTTGGTCTGACTGAGGCATTGCACTGCTATGGGTATTTTGGCTTTACTTTCTAAACTTTATATGAAGTTCTTTTGTATAACGCAGTTTTCGTTGCTGAAAGATGTAGAGTAAAGGTCTTTTCAGTGTTTAAAATCTTGTTTAAGAAGCAGTTCTTCCAGTTGTTCCCATGCAGCAGAGGCAGATCATCAGCCTGGTTTTCCCCCCATGATCCGATCAGGCTGTAGAACAATGTTCACGGTGGGGAAGCTTGCAATCTGATAGTGGCTGTATTTTTTTATTTGCCCTCGACTTAGACACTGGCGCCTCACACCTTTTTAAAAAGACAAAAGTTTCTGTTTATGCCCGCTCTATGGTAACCTTCAGTTGGCATAAATGCTTAGTGCCAGATTAGTTTCATGTAATGTGGAGAAAATCGTTTCTAGTGGAAAACAACACTAGTTGACATTGAAATATGACACTATGATGAAGTATTTCAGCCTTCAGGACGGTTATAGCTCTTTTTATGCCATTGTAATGACACATTGAATACACATACAAACTCAACATAGTCTTGCACAGTATTAGACTGTCAGACATATGGCCTTGGGCTAAAAATGGACTGTAATGATAACTGTGTATTAGCCCTAAACATATTTTTGACTGAAAGGCAGGTCATTATTCATGAAAAAATGTACAGGTCGAGCCAAAGAAAAATGACACCATTGAGACAAGCTGGCCCAGAAGCAACCACATGCGAAACAGAAGCAGGCGATAGAAAACAAAATGACCTCAGGGGATACAGAGACCATAAAGATATAGATCTTAAATAACCATCTCAGATAAATGATGAAACGTGCAGTTAAAGATTTTATTGTAGTTTCTTAACACATTTTCTTCATGCTCTATCCCATATTGATTTTATTGTCACAGCTGTCTTAGTTTACGACTACATCCCTGTTTTATCAAGCCATTACCTGGTGACATGACACGTACTAGGTGGGCCTGAGAATAGCCTTTACACAATGGCACAGTCCAGTTTTTTTTTTCTTTTGAAAGTGGTCAGAAAGGAGGCAGTCATTGAATTTACTTCTTTTTATGGCAAGAGATCTACTTGAGTGCACATTTACAATCCTCAGGTTAGTATGATATCACTCTTTGTCCTTTATCATCACTTGATTGGCTGTTGCGGACAGATGGCGGTGTGGTGCATTTGGATTGTTGGGTTGTCGGAGTTCACGAGGCTGCTGTCCCCCACCTCTCCTCTTTTGGGTCTCTGCATAAAGTTGGCCTCTTGTCCCGGCCGAGGGCTTTGTTTAAGTCACGCTTGGTTGGACCTCTGGCATTTCATCGCTTTAACCTTGCCACCCACAGTAACCGCTGCACTTAATGAGGCTACACACATGTCCCTCTTCAGGTATGAGGGGCAGCTGGACAGGCAGACCTCCACATGGACACTGTTGCCGGGACGTCTTTAACTCGCTATTCTTGCCAAAACGACTTTGTAACTGCTACGCAATGTTTTCATATTACATTTTGAGGGGTTAGCTGCTTCACAAAAGTGTATCAAGCCGGGACAATGGGTTGCTCTCAGTGACTACAGTCAGGATTACTAAACATAATGGAGCCAGTGCAGCTGTATTGCCAGCGCAGGGCAAGCAACAGGAAGCATAGTAGTAGACTCAGCATTGATAAAGCCACCAAGTTTGCATTTTGTCTGCTTGTCGTCATGGAGATACACGCCACAGTTTGGGATTAGTATACCTTGAATTCATTGTGTTGCTCCAAAATAGCTTGAATGACATTTATCCTTCCTTTGAGTGAGGGTAGCCTCTGATGAGACAGAAGAATTAAGTTTGACGCTGTTGTCGTTTGCTTGTGTTCCTTGTTCTGTGGAACATGCATGGGGAAAAAACAAATACGTATGAATGAAGACAGGCAGGTTGCAGACTTTCTACCAGAAAATCTTAACGTGCATTTTCAAGTTGATCTTTCAAGATTGTCAGATTAATTCACCAATAATTGATCCTTTAGTCGTTAATCAACTGATACCTTGTCAAATAATTGTTGATATGTTTCAATTTAAAGAAGGTTTATGTGAAAACTTCAACATTGGGAAGATAAGGAGATCAAATGGTTAAAGATTTTGGTACTTACTTTGTTATTAAAGCTAAATCACACTCTCAATTCACACGTTTTATCAATATTTTTGTTTTTGTTGCAACATATGTCCGTAATTTTGTTTTGTCTTCCATTATTATTATTTTTTAGCATAGTTTGACTTGTACGACGTCCCCTTTTTAGTTGACTAATCATCAATCAACAGGGAATTTGTTTAGTCGCCCAAAAATTTATTTTTGTCCCTTTCGTAGCCGTACTCCAATGCAACGTCATATAGCTACGGTTTCCCCGGAGTAGAATGACCATATTTAGGCTGATTCAGTGCTGATTAGGGTTATTGTTTTTCTTTTAACTTTAAAAGGTACATAAAGTCGCCATTCTCTCAAAACAATAGTTCAAAAACAAGCACTGTCTTTTTAATATGGCAATATTTTCCCTGAAAGTTGGCGCCTGGTTTCTGCAAGCGTTGCATCTAGTCGTAATAATTTACAACAGTGGCGTCTCTGCGTTCAGATGTATAAGCCCTGACATGACGATGATAGACCTTTTGACAAGTCACTGCCTTTTGTGCACCACTATCAGGTGAGTTTTGCCATAATCATTGACTTAACCTTGAGGGTAAGCACTGCTGGCAGCTGTGAAAGTAATAACACGTTGTCTGTTATATTGTCGGCTCTCATGTGGCGGTGCGACGGCAAATGACTCAACAGAAAGATGGGGAAAAGTCTTACAGGTTTTCTTTTTTCTCTCACGCCGCTAACAGCATCTTGCAGAGGAAAGCAAGCTTGTTGTTACATAATGAGTTTTGTCGCCGCCTCTTTGCCTCATGGGGCCATATCATGAATCAAATCGCCTGAATGTGGAATAATCTTTTGTTTGTTTTGTGTTTTTCTTGATGCTTAGTGACCATATATGAGAGAAAGGTTGACAGAACAATTCCATATGTCTTTCGTCTCTAATTTTGTTTGACTTGTGTCAGATCCTAAATCAACCTGTGCAATGTTTATGTGTTTGATGGCAAAAGTTGAGATTCCTCACTTGGGAAAGTGTCACTGGGTATCCCCAAATGCACCTTTTGCAGTACTGAATAAACCCCATTGTTTATCTAGGTTGCACTTGTTTGATGAAAATCCTTTAGTAACAATGCATTCCTTTGGCACAGTTTCCTTTTGCCATAACCGCCCGGTGGCTTTGAGGTGCGATGGGTGTGTTACAACTATATTAATCACCGTGTTGATTTCCAGTTGATAGCTTTGAATTGATTGACTCAGAAAAGCTGATAGCAAGAGTAAGAGTCAATATAGCTTTGTTTACATTTCATCTGTAGCATGTATCTGTATCTGAAATGCATTGACTTTTATATTGAGTAGTGAAATTGAGTAAAAACAAGCAGAGTTCATATTTTTGTAGCTGGTTTTGGTAGTGGTTGTGGAAGTGGAATGGCAGTTCCATATTTGTTTTTTATCATTTGGTAATTTCCTATTCAAAGCTAACTTTTTTTTTTTAAAAAGATGTAAAAACATAAACTGTTGTGAACAAACAAGACCACAACATTCTGTTATCATCTTATTAGAAAATATGTTTTGCTTACTTGTAATAAATAGCCCTGTGAGTCACTATTTGAAACTTTTGGCGGTTCTAAAGGTTAGGGACTCCAGCTGTAATATTCGCAAATATCTTTTGCGATTTGTCTAACTTGTTTCCCATTCCTTTTATGACAGAAGTTTTCCCAGCTTTAACTACACCTAAATGTTTGAGAACCACTGTATTAGACCTTTGCCTTCCAGTTATTGAAACATATTTTATTACGGAGTACCGTTCCAGAGCAGGGCTGGACCGCTCAATCACTCCTGGCTCTGTGTGTATTGGGAAAATTCCCCTAGTAAGAAGTTTCAGTAGTATTTTTTGGCAGGATGGAGGGCTTCAAACTGGAATGATTCTTATCACTGATGTTACATGTCTGTTGTTGGACACTGTCTGTTTGGCCGGCAGAGATAAGAAGAAGACATATGATCACACACTTATTGCACTTGGACTTGTTGTGCTATTGTGTGTGCTTCTGTGTTTTGCGTGTGTGTGTAATGTGTATGTGTGTGTCGGTCCCCTCTAAGTTCAAAGAGAAACTTTGTGAGTCAGCTGGAGCCTGGGAAAAGTGAACCTGGCACTGGCAGTCTGATAACGCTGAGAAGTTATGGAGTGTGAGTGAATGGGGAGGCATGCACGCTCTATCTCTCTCACTCTCACTCTCTCTCTCTCTCTCTCTCTCTCTCTCTCTCTCTTTCTCTCTCTCTTTCTCTCTCTCTGGAAGCACTTATTTGGTCCAAAACATACCAATAACAGAGGCTTCTTGTTAGATAGAGACAACTTACATCCCCTGGAGACTCTCTTTGATAACATAATCTCACATATAAATCCCTGTTGAGTACGTATTGCAAACAGATATATCCAAATAAGTCTACTTCTATGCCTCATGTCATGTGGTTATAATAATAAACTATACACTGCACTGTTGCTCTTAAGCATTAGGCTTCAAAGCACAGATATTGTCTGAACTCAGAATGTTATTGCTGAGATGTTTGAATTTAGTTGACTAATGGCATTGTAAGAGCAGTAGTTATTTACATTCCAAGAGCATTCCAAACTCCTCTCAAACTATCATGTAGGTACTATTATTTAATTATTACGTTTAGCTGAGCCTGCAAAATTCTATACAATGTTTTCAGTCAATTCTAATCATCAAGGAAAGATTCTGTCAGCATTTAGATGATAGTAAAATGTTGGTTGTTATAGCCAACTAACAATGCCGTCCAGCCATATATCATTATCTGGATTCATGTTAAAGACTTATTGTAGTCTTCAGCATAAAGCCAGCGTCATGTGTCTTGATGACTACAAAGCAGCACAAATATTAACTTTATTTGTCAGGGTTGGTGCGTCTATATATAATAGCTCCCAAGTTGAAACAAGTCTAAATCATGCCAGCTATGGGTGTGTTGAGCAGGTCTTTATTCTCAGAGCCAGTAATGTAATAAGTGTTATGTGTTATGACAGCAGTCCATCCAAATTGATATATGATTGTTTTCTCTGCTGAGACGTTTTGCTGTTAGTGTAGATGTTCTCAGCATTTGGATGTTTTTGGCAAATACTGTATCAGCGTCACCGCCCTCATTGTGACGCCACCATGAAAAGTCATTTTCAGTTCATGCGAATGTTGAAGTTCAACATTCGCATGAACTGAAAATGACTTTTTTATGTCTTATGTCAAATGTCTTGTGATATCTACATGCATCATAGTTCAACTTGAACTATGATGCATGTAGATATCACAAGACATTTGGTCACTTTCTGATAGTACACAGTTACAGGACAAGATGATGAAACTGTTATTCATGGAAACATTTCAAAAACACATACAATGTTTTGGTTTTCCAGTCGACTTCCTGTTTTTAAGCTTGTGTGATTTATAGGGTGACCTTCCCAAATAATCTTGCACGGACCCAAGAAGGAACAAATGGTGAAATCCCCTAAATTGTCCAGGCCACGTATTTGTCTTCACAGCAGAGGGGTTTCGCTGGCTAAGCATTAAGCACTAGGCCTGAACTTGATACTGTTAAGCGCTCAGAGGGGAAGCAGAGGCCTCGTGTTCGTGGTGTTAAGATAGCTGGCTGTAGGTTGTAGCTTGTGCATTGATGAGGTATCACGTTGCCACATGACTGTGTTTCTCAAGCTCTGCCTAAAGCAATTACAGCCAATTATGAGTCAGTTTAGGAGTGCCATATATTAAATGCTGGCTTGTGTGATTGCAATGGAAAACCGGCAAACTCAGAGACATAAACTTAACTGGTTGACATGGAAAGTGTGGTAAATATAGTAAATGCAGTCAAATCAATAATGTAATTTAATCCTGTTTTTGGAATTTCCTTTAGACACCAGCAATTTTTTATGACATTAATGTGAGATAGTCAAAAAGTGGTTCTCTGAAACTATAAGAGATAGAGGACTTTTAAAATCATTCAAAGAAAAAGATAAAAGTAGGGTAGATATTTATGGGAAGCCAGATTGCTTTATAGAAAATGACCTAGGTTCAGGAGTTCATGTACCAATTCTGATACTTTGGTGCCAAAAGAGTTAAATACCAAATCAAAAGATGACATTTATTAATGTAATTTCACAATCTTTGCAAAATAACCATTTGTTTTGTGTCTAATCAAGTTACTTTGACATCTACACAATACCTTGTACTCATATCGTTGGATCGTTCACAAAAACATCTCAAATGTAATAGTAGATTGATTGAAGTCGGGTGAAGTCATGTTTGAAATTGAATTGATACTTTTTAGAATTGCCCTTAATCTTAACAGCTTGATCGCAATGGAAAACTGGCAGAGGATAAGACGCTCATTTTATTAAATAGGTGGAAATTTGAACGGCTGACAAGCAAGGTAAAAAATGTTTGTACTGCATCATGCCCTGGGAAGAGTTGCACCGGGGCTTTCCTTGAGTAGGTCTGTTTACAGTGAAGTCATTGCCGGTTGCTATGTTGGATTGCTGTCGTGCCTGTGAGCAGGAATAGGGAGCAGGGATATGAAAGAGCAGCTCTCTGTTGGATGCGAGGGACTTGTCACCAGTGCATACTTTCTCCCTGACTCCACAGACACATTGTTCGCTTCCCCATGACTGAGGCGCAGGCCCGAGTGAATGTGTAAGGCGATACTGGTGTGAGCGCTACCGACCCCGAATCAGACAAAGCGTTATGGGAGTGCTGAAATCAAGACAGGCCCTCCAGAGTAGAGTTCATTCAGTCTTGCTCCCTGCCCCGTCGGCCTTGCCATTTCCCCATTCTCTTTGTCTCATTCATTTCCTATAATCTTTGGTGTTGTAGACTTATTTTTCACCTCAAAGCTGGTTTTTGCCTTCCTCTAAGAGGCCTACAAATGAGCATGAAATTAGAAAACCCATACACATAGTAAAAGTGTGCTGTCTGAGAAAAATGGCCATCTTCCACTGCCTCGTCTCACCGCATTTCATAAACATGTGGAAAAACTGTATTTGGGGGAAAGTGTTGCCGTGGTGGAGACAAAGACATGGTTTTGGCATTTCAGGCTTCCTTTTTGTCCACTTCTTCTGTATTTTGACGGCTCAAGAGATTAGTTTGAGCAGCATTACTACAGTGTTTTGGTTTATCTTACTCGTCCAAACCACTTTTTTGCTCCTGGTGTCATGCGGCATTAGTGCCCTCGTCCATTTTGCATTCTTGTTGAATATAGCTACATGTGAATAACTCTCTGTCGGCATTGGTTACTACTAAGGAATTGTAGCTAACTCCTGTTGTCTGTTTTCTTGCAGAGGTCCTACACTTTGATAGTGGAAGCCTTGGACTTCAGCAATGAAACCAGCGGTGAGTATTGTCCTCATCTGCCTTCTCCATCTCCTCTCTGTCCTTCCTCTCGCTCTCACTGAAGTCTACGATGAGTCGTGTGCTGAAGGTCAGAGGAAGTAGTTTATTCATCCTGCAGACTGAGGTCCCCTCTCTGGGTCCTCTGGGTGTGAGTGCATCCGTGAGGGGAGTGTGTGCTGACAAGTGCCCGAGCAGAGAGGCTCTGAGGTGGGACAGGGCTGCAGACAGAGAGGAGGAAGTGTGGATGTGGGGGGTTGGAGGCGTATCAGGGCCCGCTGTTCACTATGAAAATGTTTTCATTGGGCTGATGACTGATGGCAGGTGCTGCCAGCCGGGGTCAGGGTCACACTGTCTCACTGTCACTGAGGCGTGAAACACAGCTCTGGCTCAGGCTGAGGGTCCACATGGGGGGCCACTGTCTTTAGGTTAAAGTTACCTCTGACACAGGTGGACCTCACTCCTCTGCTTTGCACGCCTGGTACTCTCTGAGTTTATCTGTGAAAACTGTGGTTGTACCTCTCATGCATATGGCAATAGCACTTCAGTCTCAATGTGAAACTAACTTTCATTTTATTTGGTGTGGCAGAGCGGCTGTGGAGCAGTGATCCTGGCTCAGAGTGCTCTATCCCTGCTTGTTTATGCAGGTCTGTCCGAGGTCATCAAGGTTTCGGTCTTTTCTGCTGTATTTGCCGCTCCCCAGAGAGCTATTAGGGCACTGGTGTGAAAAGCCCCTGAATGTACACTCTCAATGCTGGTTAAGCCACCATCAGCTGCGCAGGATTGCTTCCAGCGTTGTTAGTCTCATACGTCTTTTCATTCTGTTATGTTATTTAGGTAAACATTCAAACACTTCCTATGTTAATCTGTCATGACTGGTGCTTTTATCCATTTGTAATAACCTGGGAAAGGCCTTTTAAAGTTGTATTTCTCCTGTAGTAAATACATACACAGTCTTGCGCTCCAGCTATTGATAGTTTTACTGCCAAAGTGGGGCCTTAATGACTTTATGAAGCTTGTCTCAGTCAGCGTTTATGTTTATCCTGAGCCAGGCAGCAGGTAGTAAGAACATGCTACTCCCGGCGCCGCGGGCCAGCAGTCGGTAGAGAAATGCCTCACCGCCGAGCTCTGGCCTTCAGATCAATGTGAAATGTGGCCGGGGAATGTGATATCTGCTTTCTCTACTCTACTGTAGACTCCCAGAATATACACAATCTTTCTCTATACACGGTTTTTACAGTCACTGAAAATAAAACATACTTGGCCCTAGTTTGGAAAGGTTTTGGAAATATATACTGATATGTTGAACTAAAAAAATAAATGTGAAAACCAAAAAATGAAAATATATTTGTATGACTTGTTTGTATGACGGTATGACTTTACTATTCGTACCTTCACATTATATTCATGAGTTTTTTATGCAAAGAACTGACCACCCCTGCTTTTAATTGTAATTCAATTAACTTAATTTATTGAGGAATGAAAACTGAAATTATTTCTATGCAGTAACTGAATGGATTGAAATGGAGGTGAAGTATTAAATGTGAATAATGTGATGAAAGCCATTGATAAATGTAGGTATAGGTCTTTAGTCATGGTAATGAAATTGTGGTTTTTCCTAGAGGGTGACAGGACAAGCATTTTCTCTTTCAACTATAACAATTGAGTCATTAAAAATATGTTCTGACATGTTGCCAACATAACAGCAGATCACTGTGACACCAACATACATTTTAAGTAGAGTATAAAAATCAACTTGTACTGATAGCAATACAACATGCGAGATCGCAATGGCTTGTTGAATTCAGTAGAATATAATTAATATCCATGAATCCCTTTAAAACATCAAAAGTTCAAGAAGATAAAACAATTATTATATATCAAAATAAATCTGTTATAAGTTGATTTTGGATAATAGGTCAGCAGCAGTCACTTACTCTTCCTCTTTCTCTATCGGGGACATTGCATCATACTGCACCGAGGGGCGATTCACCCATCGGTCAGCTACCTCTGCTTGGCCGCGCTGGGTAAATAACTGGTGTGACACATTTTTCATTCGCTCCCAGGTGGAAAGTTTAGAAGGCAAGTAGCAAGTGCAGCAGTGTGAGTGAATGAACTGTGTCTATTAAATGTGTGCTCACGTGCAGAAGTTATTACATTTTACCTTATTATCAAAATGTCCTAGAGACCTAAATCCGTAAAATTGCACATGCTATTTTAATTTGGAATGACTACTTGAATTGATCATTGATTAGTGCAAATTCTAAAAAGGAAAGATGTCACATTATATCCTACCACAACATGATATTGTTTGATATACTTTTTATGTCATTTTGAGCTGTACCCTTTCCTCCTATGCACTCGTTTGGAATAAATGGATGTTTGCTATTCAAGTATTGGGTAGTCTGCCCCCCTCAGAACACGTTTTATCAATGCAAAATTAAAATAATTATAAGCTTACGCTCACAAATGGAGGTTCTTACACTAAATAACTGCAGGGATTCTCAAACTATTTGGTTAGGGACAACCTCCTCTACAAAATAAGTTGAAAAGTTTCCCTATACAAAAAATAACCATTCTATTGCTGTTTAAATTAGTCAATAGTTGGTCACTCATAACCTATTTCTTCTACATTGTCCTTGTAAAAAAAAAATCTCCATGTGAATGATAAACTTCCTGTTGTCCATTAAAATGTCATTTATTTTGGGCGAATTGCGCTGCGACTTTAGAAGACTGATTTTGAAATTCTGAAGTTTGTTTTTGACACGTTCCCGTTGTGAAGAGCCAACACGGATCCAAACAATATGGCAACCTTTCCCGAGTTGACACAACATCTCGACACGGGTCAAAAGTGGAGCTCTGCATACGAATCATTTGATAGTGACGCTACGACTCAACTATGTAACAGTGTTGATATCCCTGCTTCTATCCTACAGCAGCAGTGGTCATTAGTTTGTTTTCCCTGTATTGTGCAGCAGTAGTGAATACAGTGTCTGGGCCTTGTGGCAGCCATGTTTGCTCAGTTTAAGTGTGTTTGCTCTGTTTGTAGAGCTCATTACGGCTCTGTGCTCCCGGCTCAGCCTTTGCCCATTCACCAGAGCCATGACCTCGTCCTTGTTTGCCCAACTAAAGAAACCCTTCCCCAGCTCGATGTGTGCTAAATCATGCATTATGCAGCTGCACCGTTCATATAAAGTGTAACTGGTGAGAAAATGTCCAACCCTTTTGACTAGTGCAAGGAGAAGAATGCTTTTGAGAAATGAGGCGAAAAAGTGCTGATAGCACCGTGGACGTCCCAGCACTGGTGTCTGCACGCTGTAATTTATAGCTGCTGTGGTTGTGTGCCTGTGTGTAAATGCACGGGGGCAGTGTCATTGTACAAGCTGAAATATTCCCAGCTTTAAACCTGAGAAAGAGAAAACAAGCAGAACAACCTTAACTTAACTTACATTTTAATCCAAAAACCCACTTTTATCTTTGACTAACTACAAGCAGAAGGCAGAGCAGTTGAACAAAGTTTTTGAAAATGTTTTGCAACTGTAATTGGCTGCGACTTTTTTAATTACATTTAACTCATCGTGCAACTATCAACAGAGCTTTAATCCTTTTCTGTTTCTTTCTGTCTTTCAGGGTAGGTTATTAAGTCTGTTCATTGCTGGCCAAACATAAATGGATTACCACTTGAATGTAATAAACTGGGATTGTTATTAGAGATGATTAAATTTGGTCTAATGAATTATATCAAATCACTTTCGCAATACTGTCTCTGTATTGAATCACTGTAAGAAGAAAGAAACATCGAGGAGCTCTAAATAAACATGTTGGGCTTCTTTAACTTTGTCTATAAGAAGCACAAGGCAATGACCCCAAAGTGTAAACCTAAGAATCACAAATGACTGAGAGATTTTAAAAAGAGAGCGTGAGAAAAAAATCAGTTAAAGTACTCATTACAGCCAGCCACTCTCTTTTTCTCCATTTCCTCCTTGTACCTCTCTTCCAACACACATACTTGCCTTAATTACATATAATCTAGTATCTTCTGCAATTTGTGTATGCATATTTTGGTTTCCCCTGCTGTAAAACGGTTGAGATTTAGCAGCTAGCATACAGCATTCCTCTTATCTTAATGTGTGAAATCAACCTTTTAACCATGTTACAACAATGTTCCCTCATCAAAAAACAGAAAAAATAGTCATTTCATGACTAATTTAATGAAATTCTGACTTGCAACAAAAGCAAAATGTCCTGTCTCAGTCCTGCATGAAGCCATTGTACGATGTCACACTCATTCTCAAATGTTGAAAAATAATCCAAATTTTTTCTAAAATTATGGAATATGTAAAAAGTCTCATCATTTTGAAGAACAAACATAATGAATGATATTTATTCTTTACCCAAAATATAACTCTTACATTGTGTGTTATAGGTTCTGATGGGAGATTGATTGCAAAGGCTTCGATCTCTGGGATGATCAACCCGAGTCCACACTGGCAGAAGTTCAGCCACCCTGGACCCCCAGCACAGTTCGAGTACCAGATTCGCGTCAGCTGCGACGAAAACTATTATGGATTTGGGTGTAACGCGTTTTGTCGTCCAGTAGATGAGTTTTTTGGACATTATACTTGTGACAGCAACGGGAACAAGACGTGCCTCGAGGGCTGGTCCGGACCTGACTGCACTACGGGTAAGTGCTGCATAAAACTTAAAAGTCACCCTGTTCTTCAGCATGTGATATTGTTTACAGTAGGTCAATTAGTTTAGTTCATTTTCAAAACCACAATTCCAGTAACATATCTTTTCTTCTACCCATCTTTAGACTTTAGGTTTGCCATGGGATTTCTGGAGTACACTTTCTCAGAATATCACTCTAATAAATGTTACAACGTATCTGTAGCACTTTAATAGCCACTCCACTTCACAGACTGACATTTGAAGTCGGTCTTAAGAAGAGCCAGAGATACAGACTGATACAATTCCTGCTGCTTCCTGCCTCTCAATGGCCACTTTGTTCCTAAATTTTCCTTTTTTCCAATGCCACAGGAATTAGACTTTTATTAGATATTGAGCTATGAATCATGGCTTATGGTTAGCCCTGGTTGACAACAGTGTTTATTTCCTCTGGTTTGAATGCAGAAGTTGGAGCAATTATCATTTACTGCTACAATTAAGAAGTGCTTAAAACTTAGCAGGGTTTGTCTAAAATAAAATAAGGCCTTGCTTCTTTTCTGTTGTAGCGATCTGTCGACAAGGCTGCAGCCCTGAACATGGGACGTGTGAACTGCCAGGCGGCTGCAAGTAAGTGACCGATACCACGTCTGTAATTTGTTATTATTTATGGTGGCATTAACTGGAAAGGCATGGTAAGATTCAGCTGTGCAAAAGTTCTGTCCAATGGGATGAAAAAAAGATCCTTCCTGTTAAGTTAGTCAGTGGCTACAGTTGCCTGTCTGACATGACTGCTCTATAACTCATTTTGAAATATCATAATAGAGATTAGTGTATAATGGAGCAGTTATTGATTCATCATGAAATTAAATACATAATGCGATGACACAGCAAATGTGTAAATGTCTCATTTTGAGCAATAAACAGTCTTTTTATCCTTTATCCAAAATAATCCAAATTAATATTCTCCAACGTCTTAAACTTCAGATTTGTACAGGTCAAATTCATATTCAATTTACAGCTAATCGATTAATCAATTATCTGAATAATGTTTAGTTACAACCCGAGCTGTTTTGCCACTATTTGATATTTATGTGTCATAAAAGTGGCATTTATCCTTTTTTGTATGTTATTATTATTGTCAGTTATTGCTGATGTTGTCTTTCTTCACATGTTGGTGCCGTATGCTCTGTAGATATATGTTTTTAAGTAATGTAAGTAGAATAAATTATGTTTCTTTATTGGACCAGCAAAGCCCTTTTGGTTGGTGTGTATTTTACTGACTTTGCTGCTTTGGCTCTATGTTTAACACAAACGTCTAATCAGGCAAATCAGTTGAATCATGCACAACATTGGGATGAGCCTCCGAGTTTATTGTTTGTATTGCTAATGGCTTCCTAATGCTGTTTGCGCACACAGCCTGAGGAAAGGCCAGACCAGATGGGCATCCAGGCTTGGGCATTGTTCGTTGGTCCAGTCATGGGCCTTGAGTTAATACTTGTCAATTTCTTAATTGTTTGATCTGGTTTTAAAGGAAGTGCAGGGTTCATTGGGTTTGTTCATTTTTGCTGTGACTTTTGCTGTTTTCCCAACCCTTTGACATCATCAGGTTTCTTGTAAGTGCTTGTGTGGCCACTGGCAGAACACAGTTGAATTTCTTTACTTTCTTTACTTCACAGGTGTGGTTGCATTTTAGAGCTTTTGGTTTGAGTTGTTTATATGCGTGCCAGAAAAACTCCTCAAGAAGAAGTTCTGCTGCTGCAGTGAGCAGTTTCCCATGATTGAGATTGATTCACTTTTGTTTCTATTTCTTTTGACTTCTCTCTAATGAGGTTTATTGTCGGATTCACTGAAGTGACACGAGCAGTTTAATACACGTCTCACTGTTGTCAGGCAGCTTTCACATTTGTGCTGTCATGTATATGCTGCTCAGTAATTTAGCTTTGTAATGACTGTAAATGATTTAGGACTCTGTTGCAGAGAGATCTGCTTCTCATGACAGGATTAGCGCACTTTTAAGAATAGCTGCTTTAATCACAGACTGAGGTTTACTTAACCACGTGTTTATTTTTACAGTCCGTCCGTTTCTCGGGGCTAATCAGTGCAGTGCTTCCCTGGAGGGACACAGGGTTTCCTGCCCCTGCACTCAGCTCTGCACTACTGTAGTGCCACTTCACCACCTTTTAACAGCAGACTTATCAGTAGACTGCATTGCTGTCTTAATTATGGAGGCCTGGAAGAGAAGGGCAGCACTATCAGTGTAATTATGGCTCCGGACATTTTAGTGCCAGAGATCTCCCTCCTCGGCCTGCAGGCACAGCCTGACTCCTGACTCCTGACTCATGGGAACCAGGATGAGCTGCAATGACTCCAGAGGAACCACTCTCTGTCGAGATGCAGCGACTGCCAAACCACAGGCATGGCGTTGTTAAAGAGAGCGTCTTGCCACATGCTAATGTTAGCTGTGCTAAAGGTCCCCTTGGAGCTGTGATATTTAAATTTTAATGCTGTGTTTAAGATAGTAAATATTCCTATTCTGTTCCAAACCATTGTTTCAAGTTAAAGCAGTTGTATAAAACATGCACTACTTACGATTCATTTGTGGTCTCTTTAGTCTCAGAGTTGTTGTGAATACACCCAGTTTCAACAGTGCATACACTATGCTAATGCTGGTTTATTAGGGACAGATTATTGCTGCCTTTTAGATGGACTTTGACGAAAGAACAGATTAGAGTGTTTCAGCTGCTTTTGGGATTTTGTGAACTTGCTATGATAGTTCTTTGGTTGCACTATTATTCATCAGCATCGGCTTCTTTTTCCCTCCGAGCTAAACACTAATGCTTGTGTTGCAGGTGTCTGTACGGATGGCAGGGCCAGTACTGTGATAAGTGCATACTTCACCCAGGCTGCGTCCATGGCACCTGTGTGGAGCCCTGGCAGTGCCTCTGCGACACCAACTGGGGCGGCCATCTTTGTAATAAAGGTTAGTCTTCTCTCATTTCAGTTGCACCTTTAAAGGAGTGGCCTGTGTTGTATCAAAACAAACTAAACACGTGTGAACATTTCCCAGATCTAAACTATTGCGGCACTCACCAGCCCTGTCTGAATGGTGGGACATGCATCAACACAGGACCAGACAAGTACCATTGCACCTGCGCTGAGGGCTACTCCGGAGCCAACTGTGAGAGGGGTGAGTGTGGCTCCAGATAACATCACCGTCACATGTCGTGCTTCTACAGCTTTACAGAGAGGTGACTGCACTTTGCTTGCTTCAGTGATGCTGAAAGATACCAATCGTTTATCAGAAATACACACAGGATGGATACAGAGAGTTCTGCTTCTGGAGAATGTAGGACTGATCGTGGTTGCAAATTTAGAAATGAGTTTAGGACAATGCGTGGCAGACTGTTTGAGGTCATATTATATTATCCATTTGTGTCTTGTGTCGTGATTGCAGCCTAAAGGTCAGAGGTGGGCGAGTGTGTAATGAGAGGAGGCGATAACTCGTCCATAATCTATTTTCACTGTGGCCTGAGTGCCTCCAAATCAGGTAATCCTGCGGTTTGATCTTGAGGCTCCGGTCATCTGTTCACGTCTTAGGTATTTCACAGACAGATGGGTGCGGTTTTCAGGAGATGATGGACTTTTCCTCATTAAATCTCAGACTGGTGGGGTGCTGACAGTTTAACTGCGGCAATGTCAGGAAACGGTGAACTTAGAAACAGGAGGTCCAAACAAGGAGTGCGTCAGGCTATTGTGGAGTAAGGGGCCCCAGGGTGCAGCACTGCATCCTCTGTTCCTCTCTATTAGACACTTCTAGAATTCCAGTGTTAAAAGTGGCGCAAGCTGCTCTTAAAGCAAACGATGTATAGCACCTAAATGTATATTTTTATTTATGTTTGTGTACATTGAAGACCATTCAAATATTGTCATATTTTTTCCGTACAATGTTAATTACTTTGGCCATACTGTAGTCAAAATATGACATATCATTCAAATCTTCGATTTGCATAAAAGCTGTCTCCCAATTGTTCAAACTATTCTCCTACTTGGTGCTTTAGCCAAGTAGGGACTATATTAAATACTTTTTATTATAGTGCTAGTCCAGGAGGTTGATTATACATTATTTTACAAATATAATGCACTTGAAGTTACTCTCTGTCACCTGTAAATGTATTGAATTGCGAAATTGTGCTTTTGGGGAATTCAGTTGGTAAGTTGATATGTGGGGGGATAAGAGGGAATGAAGTGAAATAAGAAGTCTTTCTGAGCATCGAGGTCTCTAATGGAGGTTATACTTAATACGTTTTTCCATTAACAATTTACCTCTAGATGAATTATACCAAAGGGAACATTATTATTGAAAGTTATAGCCACTTCACTTATTGTCCTCTGATCAATGAATTCAACAGAAAAAGTAAATATCTGAGTTGTCAAATAAAAACGGAATAGAATTTGCTTCATTGTCAGTTATATATTAGCTAGTGTTAAATCCATTTAACAGCAACACTCTCTGCTTGATTTATGGTGTGATTCTTCGGAGCCTGGTTGTTCAGTTCCCAAATACTTCGGCGTCTGTATCTTAGAAACCCCCCTCTCCGCTGCACGCCTTCAGTTATTTCCTCAAGTTGATCATTCATTTTTGATTTGTTTGGGAGCCGCTCACCCCAAACTCCTCCCGCCAAAACTTTCAACCAGAGCTGAGGAACGCGGCAAGTGATGGGGGACGTCACGGTGCGTTGGAGAGGTCAACTCAGTGTGGAAGATGATTTCCTGGTGGGGTGGTCTGTGTGAGTCTCCAGAGTGAGAGGAGGGTGTTGGAAAATAGATGTTTTTATTTGAAATTTTGAAGACAATAACCGGTACCCTGCAATTTTGTGAAACCTGAGCTACCTAACCTTCAATGAATGTAATATAAATCAATGTAACTTGTTCCTTGCACTCAAAAACAGCTTGGTTCTATCTCTAGTTATAGCGCGCATTACTTTTTTTGGGCATCTGTCACATCTTTAGATCAGACAGAACATTTAAAAAGAGAGGACCCCCCTTAGCTCATAGCCCAAATTGTCTTACATTTATGCAAAATGTTTTTCTAATGAGATAACAGACAGCATGTTGTGGCCTGATGTGGTCATAATTGAAAGTGAATTTGATAAGGCATAATTTACTTTTCTGTAGAGCATCCATGGTTCACAGGCCTTGGTATAGCTTACTTGACAAATGGCATTTCAAGGGACTTTTTAATTACACTATTTTGCTGATGTTTTGAGAAATAGTTGTAATCACAGTTAGAATTTGATTTATTGGTATCATCGGTTTCGTGCAAGACGCAAAACCAAAACGTGGGTATGTTGTCTGATGGGCGCACATAGCACTAAAAGTGTTCTTTGAAGATTTTATGAGCAAGTTTGCACGCAGAGTTAGTCACAGCACTGCCTATTTCGTGTCTCAACATCAAAATTCAACAGAGTATTACCTGAATGATTTTAGATCTTTAACTACAGAGTACGCTGAGCCAACTTCAATCCAACTTAATTACTTCAAAATCGAGCATTAATCATATATCGACCAAACCATGTCTTTTTCCCACTGTGCGTGACTCAGATGGGTGTGTTATTGTTGACCTGCTGTTTAAACGGTCTTTCTGGTTATAGCGGAACATGCCTGCCTCTCCAACCCCTGTCTGAATGGAGGAAGCTGCTCTGAAACTAGCCACGGCTACGAGTGTCAGTGCTCACCGGGCTGGAGCGGAGAATCCTGCTCCGACAGTAAGTCTTCAACCATTAACTTAACCGTACAAGCATTACGACTACAAAGCCATGAGATACAGCTCAGTAACTTCGATAGATGCTGTTGTGTGTACTGCACATTGGATTCTTTCTCTGTTAATGCTTGTCAATGTTCCAACTGTCTTCTCAAACAGCAAGCTCTGGAGATTAGTAAAAATTTTATATAAAGTCGCATTTAATTTTGATTTTGCATTTAAAATCAAAATGAGTTGGCTAAGTGTGGGAAGTAACTAGATCAGCAGATATTACACAGATACAGTATTTGCAGAGAATCTCTACCAATTGCTCGTGTCTCGAGAAGTCCCAATTTTCAATAGTATTCTTGACTAGCTTTAGCTGTAGTTTTAGCTTAAACAAAACATGGTCACTTGTTTCTTACCACATAAGCAAAGGCTTTTTGAAAATGGTCAGAAACATTTTTGAAACAAGTAAATGTAAAAATATAAAGTAAAAATATGGAAAAAGACAAAATCCTGAGTCATTCAAAATCATTGAGAAATACATGTCTGTGTTGTTAAACATCAAACTCCAAAACCTATAAGAGCGTCTAAGCACACATACATACAGAGATTGCATTAATGAGAACTTGTGATATTACCAATAGTAATTAGCATTATCAATAGTCATTTTAGTAATATTATGGCTTTGAATCAAAAACACTTGACAACAAACATATGTACCTGTGCAGATGTGGATGAGTGCTCTCCGTCCCCCTGTAACCACGGCGGCACCTGCCAGGACCTCGTGAACGGCTTCAAGTGCCACTGTCCTCCTCAGTGGTCGGGAAAGACGTGTCTGATCGGTGAGAGCGCGTTCTTCTCATGTTCTTTTTCTCAAGTGAATTGACTGCATGACTTTATCTCAAAACTGTACTTTTCTCTTGTAGATGCAAACGAATGTGAGAGTAAACCCTGTGTGAATGCAAACTCGTGCCGTAACCTGATCGGTGGATACTTCTGCGACTGTATGGCGGGTTGGACAGGGCAGAACTGCGACATCAGTGAGTTCATGTGTCTCTGTGTGAAGTGAAGATGCATTCATGGGGTTTATTGTGTGTCCGTGTTTTCTGGGTTCAAATTTTTGCAACTCAACGAAGGTTTAACAAATTCGGTTTAATATACTTTCTCATATAATCAGAATTTAATTTGATCTGATAAATTACAATTGTGAAGCAATGTGCAATATAATTCTTTCTTGAGCAGTTGTGGTATGATACTATTTGCTTTATTTATTTTGTGCTTGTTTTTATTTAACAAATACAGACACGAGACATAAATACACATACACATTCTTTCCAAATACCCATTTAATCTTTTCAAAAATCTTGTCTGGGATTTTTGAACCAGACAAATCAGAGTTTAGAATATATCTATTTGAAGAGCGTCCTTAGAAAAAATATTTAATATGAGATAAATCATATAACATCTAAATAGCATATAAATAATAACAGGTCTATGACTGTATTTCCAGGTTCAAGGTGTTAAAGTGTTATAAAGAGTTCAAGAATACAAAAGACATTCTGACCCTTTTGGTCCTGATGCTGGAGGCAGTCAGAGTGGAGACATTGAAATCTTCACGTCAAATGCAGTAGCACAAACATTGGAACAAGCGCTGTCTGTCTTGTAAAGTTGCGTCATTATAAACTGGTGCATGGGCCAAGGTTGCAGAGATTAAAGGTTCAAAACAATCCCACGACTAGTTTCGCTTGGCAGCAGGCGGCATTGTGCAATACTGTGCTCGCTGCAGCCCCCACAGAAGCATTAGAAAGCATGGGACACATAAAGTCCTATTTACTAAAAGGCTCAGCGTTCAAGCCATTCAACATTAATCCCCCTAATTGTGTGTTTCTGCAGATATAAATGACTGTAAAGACCAGTGCCTGAATGGGGGGACTTGTAAGGTAGGTTCTTGTCAAAAACCTCCATCTCTTTCATATTCTGCTGCATGTTTATCAGTTTTCTTGTTTGTCTAAATGTTCTTTTAGTTGAACCATGAGATATTTACAGTGGTTGTATAAATAGACATCGTAAACTGTAGTTGCTGAATCTGACAGTGGAATTGTTGCGGAATTCCTCGCTGAAATCAAATCTGGGGGGAGTGGGTTCAGGCGGCTTTCGGAGGGAGGCACACACAAGCTCCTTGACCACACTGGATAGAATTACCATAAACATTATTGTCCTGAGTCCATGCCAGGAAAATGTGTTGAAATAATTGTACATCTCTGATAATATTGCTCCAAACTAGCCCTCTTACAGCTGCCATGTCCTGTTTCGTGACATATGGTTTTACATGTATTTCCAATTCAGTTTATACATTAGCTGGTGTTATGATAATCTGACATTTATACAGCTTTGAGCTTGACATTATTTCCTCATCAACTGTTTTTATTGAGCAATCACACATTTTAATGGCTGTATTTGGAAATGTCTTTTTCTGTTGTTCTATTGTAAGCCTCATTCAGAGAGAAAGGACATTACTGCACACATATCTCTTCGATCAGTCAATCCAACCAAAATTAACTGTGTTTTTTTCTTTTTTTTCCCCCAGGATTTGGTGAATGGCTACCGCTGCCTGTGCCCCCCTGGTTTTGCCGGTGAAAACTGTGAGCGGGACATCGACGAGTGTGCAAGTTCTCCGTGTTTGAACGGTGGCCGATGTCAAGATGAAGTCAATGGATTCCAGTGTCTGTGTTTGGCTGGCTTCTCAGGGAATCTTTGCCAGGTGAATGGGACCACTAGAACAATCACACATGCTGTCTTTTGGTCCATGTCATTTTGTTGAACCTTCTCAAGGCTGTTTAAAATTATCTCCGATTCACTGACCTTTCATAAAAACGTATCAATTAATCAAAAAATAAGTTGGGCAACTAATCAATTACCACAATAATAGTTTGTTACAGGCCTTTTGGCACCCACCTTAACACTGTTATCTCTTGCCTTTCTTGTCATTCCCTGCTTTGGCTTATAAATCACTTCTTATATACCTACTGCACTCAATCCAACATACTCATTTAGGTGTCAGCTGCATCTTTTGAGTAACACTCTCAATGGAAACAAACAGGTGGGCTGATCTTCTTCCAAATAGTTACATGGTACTCCTTTAACATCAACATCACATTCTGTACTTTCCTCAACGTGGATCGTTATATTGCTGTCATTCTTTGTTGTGGCTTCGCTTTATTGGCTTTTGTCCCACGGCTTTAGAGCAAAAGGTAATTGAAAAAGAAGAATACATTAACTGGGTATACTTTACTGGGACGCCCTGACTCGAAGCAGACTGTTTTCATCCATCCATTAGACCGCTTTGTCCTGTATCTTTGGATCCCTTGTAAAGTTTTCCTGCCCCACCCTGTAAATGTCTGTTGTTCCCCAGTCCTGTTTTTTAAAAAGGGAGTGCTTTGTTGAATCTGCTCCTGGCTCTTGAGCAGAATACATTCTTCGGCGCTGAAGCCTCGAGGTTGAAGACGGCTCCTGTGTCTTTGCCTTATTTTTCCTTCTTCCTGCGAGTGTTGTGCGTGTGTGCGCTCTTTCCTGGCACAGCCTGTAGGGAGGATGCTGTGGGTTCTGCTCTGTTTAGTGTAGCCGAAACTATGTCAGCTATCAGGTTCACCGCTTTATCTAATAGAAAGCTTCCCAGACTTTTCACATGGAGAAATATCTACAAAAGGGATAAGCCTACACCAGGACTAATATTGTTCAAAACCGGTTGTAAATCAATGCAAAACCAGGTCTAAACCCGGTCAAACAAGGATTTTTTGAAAGACACTGCGTTTCCTCAACTGTCCTGTTGGTGATGATCCGTTTTTTGTGAAGTCGCCCAATAGCTGTCATTGGTTTGCTTGAAATGTCACTCAGTTTGGTTTAAAACAAGTATATTCCCTTTTTATAGAGGATTTTAGGGCTTAAAGAAAAAAAAAATGTTCAGGGCCTTCCAACAGCTCGAACTAAGCCTAGAGAAGTCCTATGCTTGTCTCCAATGTAAAAGGAAAGTTTAATGACAAACTGTATAAATATCCAGGCCAAACAACAACTTTTGGATGAACGCATGGAGAAAAACTGTACCGCCACCAGGATAAATCATTCCCCTTTAAAGCTAATATTGTGTTTTTTGGTACAGTAGCTCAAAATGTAGGATACAGAACAAAGTGACAGTACCACCATTGTGCCCTGTTGCTTTTTTTTGACTCGAGTTAAACATTTCCTCTTATTTCCTTCTTTCATTGTAGCTGGATATTGATTACTGCCTGCCCAATCCCTGTCAGAATGGGGCTCGCTGCTTCAACCGGGCCACAGACTACTACTGCTCCTGTCCCGAAGACTACGAGGGCAAGAACTGCTCCCATCTCAAGGACCACTGTAGAACCACCACTTGTAAAGGTATGTCTGCAACCTCTTAGTAACGAAGCTTGGTCTAATCAAATGCATGGCACTGTTTTGAATGAGATTTACTTCTTCTTGTTATCATTGAAAAAGGCTTTGCTATGAGGCGAAATATGCTATTTTTGCACACGCCATACAGGCTTTGCGTTTAGGGGTGCTTGGCAGTCGAAAGATTTCATTTGGGGTTAGTTCCACTCAATCCCAAATGGATAATAGTGCTTAAATTATATTAGGTTTGTTCTAAAGTTTCTTGGCCTAGGTGTGTAGTTGGTCGAATTCCTCTGTAAGCCGAATGAGTGACGCTTTCCTAAAGATCTGGCATAGGCTGATGGCTCCGTGTGTGTTCTGAGTAAGGACTTGGTGGGCTCAGCCTTCTTTTCCCCCTCACTAAACGCGCACATTTAGCCCGCACTGATGTGTGTGTATGTGTAATTGAGTGAGTGGACCAACCGCTGAGTCAGATACCAGACGTTGAGATTCGCGCTGCTTTTGGCAAGAATCAAGCAATTATAGGGAAGCGTCGTTGTGCGGCCCTCCTAACCCGATCAGACAGGGGGAAAGCAGGGATTTGAGAGCAAAGTGAATGAGATCTCTCAGACTCCACTATGAAAGCGCAAAGGCTTATTGCTGTTACAACTATCAATCACTAGTCGTGTTTCCAGCCCATGTCATGTGATACTTGGTTGCAACAAAATTACATAATTTTCTTAAATCTCTTGAGCTGAATGTGTATGATTGCATTGTGAAATTGGCGAACTGGTTTCCTGTCTTCCACATACACAGCTAAGCTCAATGTTTCTTTAATAGTGTGTGTACATTCTATGTGTATTTGACTCGGTTGTACTGTTGAAAGACGGAGAAGATTTATTGAAATTGTAAAATGCATCAGAAATATAAAATGTGACCAATTTGGAGTTGTAAAAACTATTTATAGAGAGTATATCCTGTCGTGTTTGATCTTACAAGCTAATAAGGATGTAGTTATGAATATACATATGCCCTTCAGCCTGCAGTGTAATTTCATTATAAAAAATAGCTTTTGATGTTGTCAAGATGTTTCAAGATAATATTTGACGTTAATGTTTCCCACATTTCCTGTGCACATTAGCTCGTGAAAGGTGCAAATTGTCCGGTGAAATGAAGTGATAAACTTCTTTTATGCGTGTGCGTTCTTCAGAGTCAGTTGTGTAACTCCATTAACTGTCATTGCAGTGATTGACAGCTGCACTGTTGCCGTGGCGTCCAACAGCACTCCTGGAGGCGAGCGCTACATCTCTTCAAACGTGTGCGGACCTCACGGACGGTGCAGGAGCCAGGCGGGCGGACAGTTCAGCTGCGAATGCCAAGAGGGATTCAGAGGGACCTACTGCCATGAAAGTATGACTCCTCATCAATTTTAGCTACAGAAAACGTACAATGGTTCTTAAGCTTAAACAATCAAGAGTCTATGGGTTTGTTCACACTTGGTCCAAACGATTTGATCTCTGGTTCACTTGGGATCACAGATGTGAAAACTCCAAACAACTGTGAACTGTTTAACTGTGTAATGTCAGTTCACTTCTTTTTAGTGAGTTCATGAAACCAAGAGTGACTTAATCAAGTTTATGGTAATAATATTTTGATTGACTTTATTTACAGCCCTGATTTTCTTGAGCTTATAACTTCTCAGAAAGCCACAACATACACATTTTGAAAGAAAGGAGACTGCACAATAGAAAGGAATAGAACATTGACATTTAGTATTAACTCACTGTGTAAATGGTAACTTATCTTCAATATACTGTCAAAAAAATACTTTTGTGGAATCTGACAAAAGTCTCCAATATCTTCATCATATACAATTAGACACAGATATTGAAAACTCATATGTTCTGCTGCTTATGTCCATGACAATTACTGTTTGATACACAATTATCTTTTTATCTCATTTTCATTTTTCTGACTTTCAGACATCAACGACTGTGAGAGCAACCCGTGTCACAACGGCGGCACGTGCATCGACAAAGTCAGCGTGTACCAGTGCATCTGCGGCGACGGCTGGGAGGGCACCAACTGCGAAATCAGTGAGTAGCACGCCGTGTTCTCAGATTCTAATTAGTCACGTTGATACTTTTTCCATGTTCTGACATCGGCCGCCGCTTTGATATGATTTTGATGTGGTAAAGTCATAAATCTCAACACTTGTCCCCTGCTAGACATCGACGACTGCAGCACCAGTCCATGTCATAACGGAGGGACGTGCCGAGACCTGGTGACGGATTTCTTCTGCGAGTGTAAAAATGGCTGGAAGGGAAAGACTTGCCACTCCCGTAAGACTTTTTTTTTCCCTCTTCTATTTATCTATCTATCTCATTCGTGTTGTCTGTCCATGCATGCCTTTGGTATGTGCCCAGGGCTGTTTATAGCTCTTCCAATATGTTTATTCTGTGCTGATTTGTTAATGGTACCCCCAGGTGAAAGCCAGTGCGATGAAGCCACATGCAATAACGGAGGGACCTGCCATGACGAGGGCGATACGTTCCAGTGCAAGTGTGCGCCAGGATGGGAGGGGACCACGTGTAACATTGGTAAGAAGTGTGTCCCTATTTGACAGGTCTTATCATTTTGGACGGGGATCTCCTTAGACCAGTGAGAGGTCCATTTTAGTTTTCCAGGGGCCAACAACATTGATTTTTAAGACTGGTTTCAGGCTTAAAAATGCAACACAATCAAAAACTAATGCAAATATCAAGTTCATGTTAGGGTTAGGTCTAATGTTTAGCTACAGTATTTTAAAACTAAAAATCTCTGTTTCCAGGTGGGTATTATACAAACACATTATCACAATTATGAACTTGAAAACTTCAATATATATTAAAAAAAAACAATGACAACTGTAAAATATAGGGTTAGGGTAACTAATACCAAATCAAGATGTCTCTTTTGTGGATATTTTTCGAATAGTTTCACAATTGATCCCAACAGACTTTGTATGGCAAAAATCTAAAAAGTCTAATACATTTTTTTTTCACCCAGCACCACATAAAATACTATAATATTTCAGCCAGACTTCTGACTAGTTGTGGTTTTGTTGGCTTGTCAAATATTGAGCCTTTGTTGTTTAAGGTAAACAGACCACACACTGTCAGTTATGTTATCTGTTTTTTATTCATGTTAAGTTATTTGAGGTCCACAAATGTTTCTGATCCGTCTGTCTGCGCTCCCCACTTCTTTTGTGAGTGCTGACAGATATCAGCTTTAAATCCCTGATTGCTCTGACACTGCTCTTCAAAGTGGAGGCAGATTCCCCTGAAAGGGACCAAACCTTAAGAAGTGGTGGAGGAATCTGAATGATGTGTCCCCATTAATCTAAAAATATGTCAAAAGGAAGAATGTCGAAGTTGTTTCATAATCTGTTATATTACAATCACCGTACCTGTAAAATGTGACATCATCAATTTCTTGCTCCTAATAGTTCTTTAATTTAATTTGTAAAATTATGGTCAGCCTCTTAGTTATTAGCCTTTAGTCATTTTCAAACCAAATTGAGTCGCTCATAAGCAAGTGCTATAAAGCAATGCCTATGTCAGCTATTACAAGCCTTGTTCCAAGCTGAAAAAAACTGTTGCTTCACAAAAAAACAAATTCATGATTTAAAATGGACTTAACAGTTTCATCAAGGTCATAATTACTTCTAAATCCAGAATCTCTGCAATATTCGCCCAGTCATTTATGTGAATTTTGTAACCACTGTGACAGTTACATCTAATTTCTGTTATTCTAGTGCTGCTTTGATGGACTATTTAAAACAGGCTCATATAGTTGCAGTGAAAATCGCTGTGTTTATTTGCACTTTTTTCAGGAGGTCTGAAAAATGAGTTATGTGATTATTTGGTATTAGAGTGCGCGCAGAGTATGTGCATATAAACAGAATTTTGGTTTCAACAATCATTTTATCCAATAATCTTTTCTCACACTTATCGCAGCACAATCCGATACCGTGTCATCGCTAGTTAAAACCGAGCCAAACTCAGCAGAATCTGTTCATAATGTGAGGAGCAGTGGGAGTGAGTGAGCCGAGCAATAATTGAATAAATACAAAATATTGTGATACTTTGAAGCTTTGTTTTTATTCTTCCTTGATTGGGCACGTCTGTGGGCACGGTCTCTCTTCAACATGATTTGAGTACTTGATTCTATGAACTTTTATCGATGTTTCTTTTTGTTTTTTAGTGTGTTTTATTTAATGGAATGCCATGGCTGTCCACTGCAAGACAAATCTACTTTCGGGTGCAAAGTAAACCTAAGCCTTATCAATATTTGTCTTTGTGTGCAGCCAAAAACTCGAGTTGTCTCCCCAACCCCTGTGAGAACGGCGGCACCTGCGTGGTTACGGGCGAGTCTTTCACCTGCGTGTGCAAAGAAGGCTGGGAAGGTCCGACGTGCACTCAAAGTAAGAGCTTCTTTGGAGGAAAGGATAAAGCTTGGACAGTTATTACTAGTAAAGCATGATAAACCTCCCGCCTGCTACCACATACCGAGCACACTGCTGCATCTGATTATATCTCGACTTTCTCTCATCTTGATCTTAAACATTAAAAATCCTTTGCTTTCCCTCACTGCTGCCGGCTATCAGCAAAAGAGGAGGAGGCAGACACAAAAGCGTCCAGGAAAGTGGAGACAGATGTTGCTCTCTACTCCTCCTCTAAAGACTTGTCCAACACTAGGCCTCTCTCGCTCTCTCTCTCTCTCTCTCTCTCCTCTGCAATCCAAACACTGACATGTCGGCTTGTACTACAGCACTCCTTCATTTCCCTGGCTTCACTGGGATCCCTCAACTAACTCTGCACAAATTTTCTTCAAAACAAAAATTCCCCAACTTTTTCCATGCGTTTGAGAAGTTGTAAAGGGCGCGCTTGGGTGGGGATAAGATCTATACGCCGTGCTCAAAACAAGTTTTTGTGTTTTGCATACGATTACAACTATAAACTCATATTGTCAACAATGAGAAACTAAATTTAATTTCAGTGAAAACAATACTTGTCTTGGCTGAGGTCCAACAACGCTTCACTTCACTTTGAACCGTTGAAATCGCCAACTAAGAATCAACAGTTAAAAACACAAAAACAACAGTAAAATTCTGATATGAAACCAGATGTACATGTATCTTTTGGTTTTTAAGGGTAGTACTCTTCAACACTCATGAACATTTAGAAGTCCATGCAACTTATATAATGAAATTTGTCACATTAAAAGCTAGGATACCTAACTTAAAGAATTATTTTGTTATATTCTTATTAGAAAACAGTTTATAAGAAAGAGCCTTCCGTGTCTCTATTTCACGCTTTGATGATTGGATAAGTGAGGGTATTTTTAATTTAATTTTGAAAAAGCTGATCTAAAGAAATGCATGTGATTTTTACAGCAGGAAACTAGTTTTGATCTATTATTTGTGATTTTGGAAGTTTGATATATTTCCATCATAAAACAACAGCACAACTTGTTGACCCAATTTTGGCTCCCTCTATCTCCAACTTTGTTTATAAAAAGGAATAGTCATTGTGCAGCCCAGTCTTGGTGAGCACGCCTCTGCAGACTCATGCTCAGACAAGCTACACACAAGACATGCGTTTGAAAAAATACACTAAATTGCATCTCTCTCCTCCCTCTCTCTTTCAGATACCAACGACTGCAGTCCGCACCCTTGGTAAGTGGAAGCCAAACATTTCCTGTAGCTTTAGAACAGATGTAAACAGGCCGCTCCTCCCGTACGGTCTCACCTGCTGGGAGCCGAGCATACACCCTGCTCTGTCATTCCTGAGGTGCATTCAGCCTCTGCCTTTGTGAGCTCCTTGGCACGGCTCAGCTCAACCACAAACGGCCCAAAACCTCCAGGCCCTTTTCGAAATGATAATCTAATATGTCATGTTTGTCGTCATCTGAAGAAAAAAACCCATTATTGAATAATTATTATAGAATGTAAGGAAGACATGTCAAAAACTAATTTGACTGCTGTTGATAGTGATCCATTCACGCAAGATTCAGATGCAATTTTCAGTTTGAATCCACATTGGAATACTTGTTCAAAAGTGCCCAGTGTGGACCAAAGATAACAATGCAATAACGTGCAAGATCACCCTTTAAGAGCGACACACAGCGTTCATTTTAACAATTCTCCATTGGTTTTAAATGTTGGCAGCAAGGACAATATAAACATTATAGCGCAATATCACTCTGCATATAATTATGGTGGAGAACCAGATTGTAGTGATCTAACTGTATCATATATAGTCAAGACATTTTTTTCAAAACTAAATTCATGCCCCCTGTATCAACTCAGCATTACAAAGAAACACATATGACAGCCCTAATAGTCTTGAGAGCTTGTAATTGCACTGTATGTTGACAGCTGAGAAAGTCCCAGCATGAAGTTAGATCTGATAAAGAACTTTGTTAAAACACGCCTGGGGCTATTGGAGGCTAATCTTAGATGTACTTTCTTTCTGTAGCTACAACAGTGGGACTTGTGTGGACGGGGATAACTGGTACCGCTGCGAGTGTGCGCCCGGATTTGCTGGTCCAGACTGTCGGATCAGTGAGTATTAACCCTCATGTCCTACTGCCCGGTTTGGGACTGTCGTAGTCCCACACCAAATGCAAGGTCTAGTCGGGCAATTATCTTCACGGGCTCTTGGCCAGGTTCAACCATTTCGGTGTCACTCCTCCGGGCTCTGCTGCTGTCCCCGGGGGAAACAGGCTTAGCAGGCCAACAGCTAATCAGCCATGCTCTCTGACACTGATTACACAGATTGTTTTCCCTCTTAAAGGCTTTCAGATGGCCACATTCTTTCCCATTGCAAACCCTTTGTTCTGCTAAGTCCAGTCTTCAGCTCCTGCATACCTGCTAATGATGTAGTCTTTAATAAAGCTGCGTGGGGTGCAGATATCGGAGCCAGACTTGAAGCATGTTTGCGTGTTTTTATTGACTAGTGTACTTGTGTCTGTACTGTGCAAATGACACATGACCTCTGGAAATGTAACCACGGAATTAGATTTGTGTCCCGGCTGACTAACCTAATATTTGTGTTGTCTGGAGCCCATACGGGAGCAGTTTCTAACCCATTACCCTTCGCTCTGTGGCAGATATTAACGAGTGTCAGTCGTCTCCCTGCGCTTTTGGCTCCACCTGTGTCGATGAAATCAATGGATACCGCTGCATGTGTCCTCCAGACAGGACGGGTCCCCACTGTCACGAAGGTATGTACTCAATTAGCTTGTCAGTACTGAGGGGAAGCCAATATGGATGGTCCCTTGAATCAACTTGAAAAACTAGATGTATTGTAATCAAACCATGAAATACATTTCTTGGATCCATCAAATGCTGACTAAGCTGTATACCGTTTGTTTTGCCTCAGAAACAAGAAAACCATGTAACGTTAATGGCCACATAACCGCAGATGGAATGAAATGGGATGAAGACTGCAACACTTGCCACTGTTCCAATGGGAAAGTGGTGTGTACAAAGGTATGTCTTTAAACTGCTAACCATTATCTGAGTGTGAAGAATTTATGACGCCTGAGTACAGCTGTTGGTCACATGATGTCATCGTTTACTAATGGGAGCTGGAGATACCTGCAGAGCTATAAACCATTGTTGAACTCGGCTGACAAATGCAGGCATGTTTTAACAGAAAAGTATCTGATATTTCCTTATAATCACATTTGCTTTAGTTCAGCTCGCTCCGACAAACTGGTAAAGAGGCTACTGTAAAATAAAAAACCACTTCATTGTGATAGCAAACACTGTGCCTAATGCAACTTTCTCAGAAATACTAGTCATGGTACAGTGCTTGAAAACATGATAATCAAATATTGTTGTTGAAGGGGAAAAGTCAAAAAGAGGGAAAGTCTAATGTGTGAGATACTGTACCACTTAAGTACCATCTAATGAAATCAGTTGACATAGTTACATTGGCTTTGAGACAAGGTTAATATTTTTTCGATTTTCGCTTTTATTCAAACTTTGTTGTTCCATTGTTTAGTTCTGCTCAAAGTCACTTATTTAGGTGTGAGAAAATGTTCTCAGTGTGTTCCCAGGTAAGTGCCTTTGTAACAGCACTTGCTGAGGGTGGAGTTGACTCAGGAGTGTCACATTCAATATAGAGATGATGCATTTTGTTTTGAAAAGAAGCACAATGGCGCAGTTGGAAATGTCTGCCAAATGCCATTTACTAGAAGTCACTCTGGGAAAGACGAGCATTCACAAGGAGAGAAGGTTTTTTTTCTTTTTATAATAAATACTTCACGTCCAAACGAACAATGGCGCCTCACTGATACGGCTTGCCTCGGGAGGAGTAAATCATAGGATCGACCTTATGCGGTTTCACATCTTCCAGAACCGTCTACAGCAGGAGCACAGCAACATACTGTCTTTGCACAGAAATGAATCATTATGCAGACCTTATCCAGCAGAGACGTCAGTGGAGTTGTTATGTATGGAAATCAGATATAAGTCATGTTCGTAATGAATGTATGACTAATTGAAAAAAATGTTCCTGCTTTTCCAGATGTGGTGCGGTGCCAAGTCGTGTAAGCTCGGCGCAAAGGGTCGAGGGGGGTGTCCGGCGGGCCAGAGCTGCTCACCCGTGCGGGAGGGCCATTGTTTCGTCAAGCCATGTCTGGAGGAGGGCGAGTGCTGGTGCAGTAATCCAGCCACCTCGCCTCACAAATGCCACCTTAGCTCCAATTTCCACGACGACAGCTGCGCTAACATCACCTTCACGTTCAACAAGGAGATCATGCCACAAGTGAGTTCACCGCGGAGGGGACGTTAAATCTGGAGGTTTTTGGGGGTCGTTTTTCATGCTTCCTACGCAGCACAAGTTTAAAAGATCAAGTTTTGCAAAGGTGTTTTTCTTCCCTCTCTCAAGGCCTCAGCTTTTATTGTGCATTTAAAAGTACTCCTGGAAAGAAAGAGCACCATTTCTCGACTCGCAGCGCACGTTCCAATACAAGTTTTGGTGTTTTCCGATCTCCCCAAAACGCAACCACAATGAAAGATTAACTTCAGGATCATATGGATTTCAGCTAAAAGGGTTCACTGGCGGCTCTGTCACCACACTCAACCATCACTCGCCAGCTGTCTAACAAGCGTGACAACCGATAGCGACAGGCATACGAGTCTGTGGTCTTTAATCTAAATGAGGTGGATCCCAACCAGATAGCATATTCTGCACACTGCACACTGTAGTAGTAGTAGTAGTAGTAGTAATCTTTATTTATATACCGCCTTTTCACTGCACATCGGAGTCTCAAAGCGGTTTACAATTGTTATTTTTTGGGAGCGGGGTCGCCGAACAGGAGGCACATGCCAGACCTATTGTACATATTTTTAGTGGTAGGGGAAACCGGAGCACCCGGAGGAAACCTACGCAGACACGGGGAGAACATGCAAACTCCACTCAGAAAGGCCCTGGTCCAACCGGGATTTGAACCCAGGACCTTCTTGTTGAGAGGCGAGAGTGCTAGCCACTCAGCCACACTGCCAGACGCTAGACCAAAAGATTGTTTTCTTTTGTTATTGTTTGCCCTGTATTTTCCACTAAGCGCTCTCTTTCCCCGTCTCTGCAGGGCTTAACGGTCGAAGGGGTCTGCAAGCAGCTACGGAGACTGTACGTGGTGAAAAACTTCTCTTTGGAGCATTCCGTGTCCATAACTTGCGACCCATCGTTCTCAGCCAGCAACGAAATCCACGTCTGCATCGTAAGTGACTCAAACCAAACGTTATCTCTCTTATCGCTACAATTACAATCATCAGCATGCTTTCTTTACCCCAACATCTAATTTGTGGTCAATTAGGACCAGCCATGAGTCACAATGTAAACACAATCAGTACCAGACAAGATAAAACATGGATGGAGTTGATTTTGACACAGCTTTTGTGTTCTATTTCTGCAGTCGACCGATGACCACCGCTTGGACCGCAGCCCGAGCAAAGAGATTATAGACAGGATACTAGACTTGGTGAGCAAACGCAACGGGAACAACACCATCATCGCGGCCATCGCTGAAGTCCGAGTGCCAAGCCCAAGCAAAACTGGTATGCACCACTCTTTACGCTGTTGTTTACTTGAATCTTTGACTCCTACCGCACTAACCTGAGTAATGTGGGAGGATGCATTGTTGACTCTTGCATTTTTATGGTGACGAGATAGTGGCACGCATTCAATATAAAGAGGACTTTGGAAATATTGAGAAAATATGTGTATGAAAACAAATCCCATTCCACCCACACAAGCCTTGAGCTGGAGACCTGGGTGGTGCAATCTACAGTAAATAGTGCCGCTCAGATCTGGTCTCATGGCAGTTGTAATTGAAAAGAATGCAGGCAGGGTTTCAATGGAAAGACTAGAGGTGCCTGCTACAAGGCCTCAGACTGGCTCACACTGAGACTGGCTGGACCTAGTAGTAGTTAGACTGCTGCATGTGTCCACCATTCATCAACGGAGTGACAGCAGACTGCCGCCACAGCCAAATAAAAGCCGCCTCCTCCCTGTTAGGGCTCAGAGGTCAGGTTGCATTGGAAAAGCATGCTAATGATTTAGCAAGCCTGACGCAGCTGTATAATAAAAGCTTTTGTGTATTGTTTAAATGGGATAGATTCTTTTATGTGTGTGTCATCTCTCTGACCTTTCTGCTTGTTTTGTCCCGGCAGACTACCTTGTGCCCCTCCTCAGCTCCGTCTTCATTGTGATCTGGGTCCTGGTGTTGGTCTCCATATTTCTTTGGTGCATGCGTCACCGGCGGAAACAAAGCAACCACAATGGGACTTCCACTACAGGCGCAGAGGACAACACCACTAACAATGTGCGGGAGCAGCTGAACCAAATCAAAAACCCTATAGAGAAGCATGTAGGCCTAACGGTGGCCATCAAAGACTATGAAAACAAGAACTCACTCATAGCCAAAATAAGGACAAATCACCCCGAGGGGGATGAGGACGACAAGGAGAGGCACCTACAGAAGGGCCGCTTTGCCAAACAGCCAGCATACACACTAGTGGAGCGGGACGAGAAGACTCCCATCTCCAACCCCAACTCTACATCCAAACACCCAAACTGGACTAATAAACAAGACAACAGAGACTTGGAGACAGCAAACAGCATTAACAGGATGGACTACATTGTATAGCAGACAGCTGTGTTGCTGTGCAACCAAGCCTAATGCATTCACACCCCGGTGGTGGGTGAGCGGGAGCTTTGGCATGTGTCGTTAGCGGACTGTCATGTCAGCGACCCCACAGTATTTTCAGATATTCCCCGTGTTAATTTAAGTTTTGACAAGCTGGCTTACACTGGCAGTGACAGTTGCTTTGTTGAGCTGGAAACACAAGGCGCTGGTATACATTTCACGTAGAGCTGGTGACACAAGTGTCCTCAACACATTTCAGTTCTGTGGTTTTAGGTGAGGACTTCTGGAGGGGCTCCTGGTGTAATTGTTGTACAATGACTCAACGACCCGACGTGTTCCACGCTAGAGAAAATCTTTAGTATTGTTTAAATTCCTCTAGATCAGTTTGGAGAAAGTGCCTTTTCAGCTTTAGACTTCAGCAACTGTCAAACAAGATCAACTTTATTATTTATTTTTATTTCTTAGGGTTGGGGGGCGGGTTCAATGTCAGCAGTTGCTGCCAATATGAAGAATTTATGTCGATTTAGAAACTTGTAGATATGTACATTTTTTATTAATCATTGTGTATATTTGATTTATTAACTTAATAATCAAGAGCCTTAAGATATCATTCCTTTTTATTTATATGTTCTTTGTAGTTTGAAGGTTTTGGTAGCTGCGGAAACCCAACATTTCTAAATCTTACCGTTGCATTCGTTAAAAGCCAAATTTCAAAGACAATGGATGAGCCCTTTTGGCTTAAAAGAGACTTTATTTTTCTCGTTTGACATTTCATAATTTGTTGCCAGGACCTTGATAGAAGGTAAGTGAGTTTTGGACGACAAGCGACTACAGCTGCTCTGAGGGGTGGACATAGTGGCAGACATATTGCTTGCCTCTAATGAAAAAATAAATACTTAAGGGAACAAAAGCCCTCAGCAGCTCCAGATTAACCCACCGATACATTTGAAAGTCTGTCAATTTCACAAACTTGCACAGCAAGTCACACAAAGACACGCCAGCTTTCCCATCTGCTTTAGTCAGTGTAATATCATATCTAGAGCATGAGTACTTGAACGGTTTAGGGCAATGGGAACACTGTAGAATCGGATAAATACACTGCCTTGCTCTGCAAGAGTCTTTTGTTTCTGTGCACATTTGTTTCTTTTTAAAATGAGGCTCTTAAAGACAAACATGTTTTATCTCATTTGTAAACCCTTTGAGATCATGGCAACAGTTTGTCCGACTTTTTGACTTGTGTTATGAACTTGAGAATTATGTGTTGATCTGGCAATATATTTTTGAAAGTCATATTTATTAAATATTTTGTATGAAAAGAGAATTAAAGTTGTCTTTGTTCTGACGGAGAGTGCCGTTTGTGTGTGGTGTATAGAGCCAAACATGTTGAAGCAAAGAAGGAGAGGTTTCTCATGAAGCTGTCGTGGGAACCGACGCAAGAGACACATCATAGACTCAAGCAAGGTCTCTGTCCAAATGTGTTTACAGCTAATTACGTTGTAGCGAGCTCTCTCAGTGTTAAGTCAATCCTAAAGACCAAAATACCCTCGCTCCACATGATCTATAAACAATGTTGTCCTTGTTGGTGTGGTTTGAGTAGGACACTTATCTGCAGCCTGCTTGCACTCTGAGCCTGAGAAGCTGCAGTGCAACTCAGAATCAGTTAAAAGGATTACAGCCAAAGCAAGAGATTATCAACACCCAAAAGTGACCTTAAACATATCAACACTGTCTCCGCCCCTAACACTGGGCCTGTATCTGATGTCAAATGACTCCCACTCATGATAAAGATGGGAACAGCATGCGTTTAATTACAAACATCTCTAGAATTGGACAGACTGACACTGTAAGGCTGCCAGTAGAGAGAGCGACATGGTATTTTAATCACACATGCTTCCAGCTTATTTGCATACTCCCACAGAGCATGCATAATCCGGTGGGAAAATAATTTATTTCTCATTCAAATACAGAAAAAAATGAATCATGTTTATAGTTTTGGAAAGACTAGCTTCAATGGATTCGCCCCCGATTCCCCCTTTCTTTTGCGCAGGGAGGAAACCAGATTAAACCAGAGCAATATTGTTAAAACGGAAAGTTGTAAATTCCACCCAATAAAAAGCTACACGTCAGGTGCTAGGCAACTGGTGCACGAATGATATGTTAACCTCGAATATACATTTTGTAAACAGGGTGATGAAATAAAACTGGAAACAGCAATCAATCAAAGAGCTTGAGTAGGGGGAACTGGACACTTTTCAGACATGTAGGAGCCAATGTTTTGAGCAAAATCCATGACGTACTGCTGCATGGCTCCTGGCTGTCTGAAATCCCCAATCTTTAACACAAAACCAAATCTAAACTCAAATTAAGGTTTTTGACTTTCATTTGCAAGCTTTTCTTGACCACCGCTGCAGTATGCTTATGGGTGGAGGCCGGGTCTGTTTCAAGTATTTGACAAAGCGTAACTCCAGGGCTCGTGTATCAATTGTTGTAATGTGTTTTGCGTCGGCGGGAGCGTGGAGAAAAGACAGAGTAAACTACGACATGCGGTTTTGTTTCCAAACAGGAGACATCGGCCCAGAACGTGTGGGGGCAATGTCAGCACCGTCTCCAGTTAGCACACAAAGAGATAAAACGAATAATATGTGTGAGAAATTAGTATGTTCAATAATAAACTTAATAAATAACTTTCAGATGTTATCAATATTTCAATGAAAAACATGAAGGAATAAAAACACTGCTGATCATACATTAAAGCTGGAATATCTAACCACATATATGTTGTTTGACCCAACAGAACAAATAGAGTTTGTATACATGACACTTAGGGCTGATCTCTCTCTTTTTCACTTTACTATTGCTACTATCTTAAGCTAAAGATTGGACAGAGGCAAGAGTAAGTAGTTAGGATGGATTATATTGCATAGTTCAATTGTTTGTCTCAAAAAGATTTATTCCAGCTTCAATGCAAGTTATCACATAATTATTGCTGGTTATACACTTTTAGTTTAGTCTACACTGGGTGCCCACTTAAAAATCATAATTTCAGAATAAAGGTGCATTGTCATGGGTCTGGTCTGGTAGAATGTTCCTCTGTATGGCATTAAACCGGTCAATCGCCATGGAAACAGCTAAAAAGATATTTACTATGCGGTAATGCTGTAATAATACCAGGTGCATATGTGTGATGCAACACTGTGGAACATTCCAGTGAGTTCAATTTAGATGAAGGGACAAAGCCTATTAAAGAAAATACGGTGTAAATATTCCAGAATTGGTCTGTTGGGGACGAATACAAAAACGTTGCAAATTGCTTTTAATGATGAGTTTTTGCATTCAGGACAGAAGTCAAAGAGGAAATCAAAACGTCAAGCAACTCTGCAAAAACAAATACAAAAAAGTTTTAAAAAGGGATCAACAATTACTCATAAAAAGTCATTTTGCTCAAAGGAAGTTGATGCGGAACTCTGTCAAACGGACGGTTCAAACATTGCAGGCCTCTCTTTGACATGTTTGCACTGATGAAAGTTACATTAGAACCATTTATTAAAAACATGGCCCGCTCTCCTCTCTGCAGTCATGACCTCTTCGTCCGCCGCAGTCGCGATGCTCGGGGCACATTCTCGCTCCCCTCCTCTTCTGCCTGCTCGGGTCTGGAAGCAATAGAGGAGCTGGAGGATGCATGCTTGTCAGATAGGCCCTTCAGACTTGCGGCCGGCCTGTTTGGGTTTGTCTGTGCCGTGTTATTGCTGCTTGTGAGGGGCTGCCGCGGGGCCCGTTTCCCCGGAGTAAGCAGCTCCACTTCCACTGCGGTTTCGATTCGCTCCGACACCAGGAGAGCCTTGGATTCGCCCTCCACTTTAAAGTCTCGCCTGGACGTTTGAGAGGAGCTTTCGAGACATGCCCTCTTGGCCCGAAGCGGGATTGGGTCTTCCCCTTCGTCCCTTGAGGGCTCGCTAGTTTCTAGACCGGTTTCTTCTTGGCAGGATGCAGCGTGTTTGTCAGAATTATTCTGTTCACGATTTGGGCCAGAGTCCAGATTATCCCCAATCTGAAGCATCGGGTCTGAGGAGCGCTTTGAGTGGGCTTCCTCCAGTCCGCTCGGTCTAATGGTGTGGGAGTCTTTCTGTTCTTTCTGCTCTTTCTGGACACTGGCCTGTTTGGCTCTGTGAAATACAGATATTTATAAAAGAACAACTCGTATCAATGTAATACAATAGATTTTATTACATTTTGGGTTTGTACATTTCAGCCAAATTTTGACAATATAATTGAAAACACACACTCTTCTGTATTTATCTGCTCGGCATTCGTCAGCACTGGTGCGTGTGTGACTCAAAGGGAAAGTCTGTAAATTCAAATACATTTCCTCTTATGCAAAATTTTACCACTTGGCTCTGTGCTCTATATTGTGAAGTAAGACATCGGTCATACACTAAATGAAATGAAAAAGAAATAAATATCATATACTGTAATACCCTAAAGCCAAAGCCATCACTCAAATATGACAAAGCTTGAACTTGGACCAATAGGTTTGGTCTGTTGAGTCCCATTTTTCAAAACTTCACTTTAAATACAAGCTGATTAGGAGAGCTTTTATGAAACTGCACAACGATATGTGATTATTGATGATTATTGAGTGCACAAAAATACCCTTTAGTCAGTAGTGTTAAATACGCTAAATTAGTTATAATACCGCTCAAGTGATTCACATTGAAACGGATATTGGAACAGTGTATTTCATACCGTTTTATTTTCACAAAACAACTCAATGGAGCAATGGACCCTCCTCGGATCGTAACTATTTGCCGGGGCGTTCTCGGTGTGAACACCCTGACCAACCAAAGTTCTGACCGGGATTCAAACCCAAGACTTTCTTGGTGAGAAGCGAGAGCCACTGTGCCACCCATAGATGTAGGAAAATATCTATTCTTCACCACATGGACAATAAACTGGCAGAAGTCCATTTCATTGCAATTACTGTTATTCCTGTGGTGAATAGCTGACACAGGTCCAAACAACTCGCCATTTGGTCTTGGACATTTATACCGGGGCTACAGTGCGAAAATAACTCTTTATCCATACTTGAAAAGATATTGTGGCCTGGATTTACATTATTCCCTCATGTTTTGTATACTTTATCCATTGAGTATTGTCCAAAAGTATTTCTGCAGTTTAAATAACTTCCCCGTGTTAATAAACAGGATATGGACAGTTCCACAAGTGTCCTGTTTGACCGGTAGGCTGGAAACTTCAGTGTTATTTGCTCATACTTACATCTTTTGAAGCCCAGTTTTCTTTGTTTTTGTGGGGATGTGAGGAGGCTCTTGGGTTTCGGCCGCTTTGGAAAAATATTCAGATCGACTTTGTTCACTCAGCTCTTTCTGCGGAGGATGAGAGGACAAACGGGGACAGTCAACTATCATTTAGCGCCCGTCACACGCACAAACACATTACTTTGATATTCTGTTGAAACCAGAGAAAAACATCCATTGCTGCGAGGTCAGTAAAACAGGATTTGTGAACTATACAACCCCCCAAATCGAGCTAATAAGAGCTTAACATGCAAGAAATGAGTATATGAATAATAAACTGGGCTGAAAACATATCTTTTTAGCTGTGCATACAACTGATTCTATTTTGTACTATTCACTGCTTTTATCTCCCGTTTTAAAACCATATTATAATGAGAGTTTTAAACGCCTCAGATTGTGCAAAAAAAGTGTGCAAAGATGTTAAAAGTTCAAAATATAGTCTGTGCAGGATATAAGTATGTACAATTTAAAGTGGCAATAGCAGTGCAGGTTTCAGTCCTAGGTATAGTAAGGTATAGTTCTATTGATCCTTTGGGGAAATTCGTTCTATGAATTTGACCAGTCCTCAAACGAACCTGTCAAGAGCAGTGGTTCCTCCAAGAAGTTTTTGGTGACGGGGGAAAGCCAAGCCCAGAGAAAACCCACCCTAAGACGAGGATAAGCATGCAAATTGTACACAGCAAGGCGTGGGATCAAACTCACAAACTTTTTGCTGTGAGGCACAAGCGTTGGCCTTTGAGCCTGAAGGTCGTGGGTTCGAGCCCATCATGAGACCTACTTCACGACTGTGAAGTCCTTGGGCAAGACACTTAACCCCACTTTGCCTGGAGCCCCCGCTGAAAGATCTCAGCTCCTGTGGACTCACCACCTGCAGGAGGATCAGTGAGGGGCTGGTGCTCTGTGTACTGGGTGCAACTCTAACTGCCACCCCCCCCCGACCCAGAAATGGATTAAGGGGAAGAAGATGGATGGATGGATGGATAACCTAGTTTTCCTACTCAAAAACCAATTTAAACAATATAGAGCCTCGAAAGAGATCGTTTTATCAACACACATACTTCTTCTTAGTATGCCAAAGGTAGAGATTTCATACTTATTTATTATGCTTAAGTCAAGAGTTTTGTTTTTATACTTGTTTCTTCTTCATGCTAGAGTGAGCGATTAAAAAAATATATATATGTATTTTGTATAGAGTCTTTGTTTACATATGTTGTCCTGTGTGCTAGTCATTTCTGCTGTTCTGTAACTGTGATGCAACACTGAAATTTCCCCACCGTGGGACAAATAACTGATCTCTTAATCTTAATCTTTCTTTTTTCTATTCAAACACCGAAGCGCTTGTCAACAGTTGGATCTTGAAAGGGGCCAAACTCAATGCTACAATCTCACAAATGTAATGAATTTTGGCTGCATCAGATGTAATACTTATAATGATTTAATGTCAGCATGTCACGAAATACTAAAAACAAATCAGATTTAAAAAAAAAAATTTATATGAAATGTGATTAGTGTTGATTTGAGGAGAGAGCTGAACAAATTATAAGTGCTGATAGAAAACAAAAGGGAAAAGTGGGCTCCTGGTGATCTTCAAGATTAACTGCATAGATAAAAAAAAAAATCTTTGAGGCAGAACCAGAAATGGCCTGAATATTGGATCTCACCAACGAATGCCCTCAACAGGCCACTTATGGAGGCTAATTACACATCTCTTCAGTGACTGAGCCAGAACCGGCAGTGGATTTATGAGTGGACAGGCACTGAAGGAATCCGAGCGGAACCAAGGGCCTGTCAAGTGCCCCAGTCAAAGCCACAAATACACTCTGATGATAAAATAATGTATGAGATTAGGTTTCATTAAAGCACATCTGTCGTTACTGGACTCTTCCTCGCAAATCTACAACCTACATTTATGGCTAGAGAGCTCAGAACACTTCAATGTTTTACCTCCATTAAAACATATAATTATCCGCCCAAAAGAATTATATCCCAGGTATTAAGGAAGCCCCTAAATGTCACATAATCATTTTTCACATCTAATACCTGAAAATCTGCTGCTGACGGTGAAGTACCACTGTAAACAGGAAAGACTACACGCTCACCAGGCTAGTCAGTCATTTCTATAATAAATACTGTATATCCATAGTTCAATAATGTGGTCCATGCAGAACACCGATTTATAATTTACTTGGATGATTTTTTTCCAACCTGCAAGCACAGATTTGTACATAAATCAGTATTACGGACAAATAATAAAACATATTTGTTCATTTCTTTTGTTCCACAGAGTTTATAATGTACCTGTAAAATATGTTAATGTTATTTAATGTATTGCCTCGACAGGTGTGAACAGTTCTTGGATGAAATGTGCAATACAAATATATATGTATACTTATGGCAATGATAAAAGGTCTAAGCACAACCTTAATGTGAGCAGGCTTGCATCTCCACAAACTTAACTTTTTTTATGGTTCTTTTGAAAGACAAGCTAGATGTATTACTTTATTAATATGTAATACCTTGTTAACATGATTCAAAAATGTTCATTTTGTCTTGAGTTAAATATTTTGACTACTTGTCCTGTTTGGTGAAGTAAATTATGTTGTTTTTATTTCGATCTTCAATAATATGATTTAAAACTATGGAAACTTGCAGATGATTTTCCACCTCCAGAAAACGGCGTATGGTACCGTCGCTCTAAGAAAGGGCATCTGACATAAAATCTCTACCACATGACTATATAAATCAAGGCAGACAGAGAGTATGTAGTCTGTGTGTGTGTGTGTGTGTGTTACTAAGTGGCCGGCGGCATGAGAGCCATTTGATTTGAACTTGGGTGAACAGGTCCAAGAATTATAGCTGAATCTGGACACTCATAAAAACAACATAAGTCAAATTTTAGAGTGAACGTTTCAAGTTGCTCTGGCACAGCTCTTGCCCAATGCTTGGCCTGGAAAAATCTCTAGTTCCAGCGGATTCAGGGAAAGTCCTCAGTGACCCTTTTTAATATTCTGCAATAGCTGTAATAGTCGCTGGCGTATCCCCACGAACACGGTGGAGTGCAACGATCCCAAATAAGAAAATACTACTAGGGCATTGTGGTTGGTGTTGTTGGTGTTGACCCTAGCAACCGCTCACTGGCCAGAGCGTTGTAAAAGAGGCCAAAGCAGAGAAAAGAGGGGAGAGGAGAGAGGGGGCCGTCCGACAGGGAAGTGGGCGGCCGCTAACGTCAAGGAACAAGGGACAAGATACTGCGACGTGAATAGAAAGAAAAAAATACGACAAAGTAACAAAGAGCAGTGGACCTCCAGAGACTCAGAAACAAATGTAAGAGTCCCACACAGGAAACCCGGGACAGACGCGGCTTTGTCCGTCCGGCTGCAGAGTGGGCAGAGGGTCAGGCGCTTCACAACCGAGTCTGGGCCGCAGCTGGAAGTCTGGATTCACACAGCATAGTGCAAAAAAATATAACGATAAATAAACGAATAAACCTTTTAGCACAGGATTTAGATGATGCTAAGGATTTGTAACTTCCCCCCGGTTTGGTCTTTGCTTGAGATCTGGTTTTGTTTTAGAAAAGGGGCCATTGCTTTTGACAGCCATGTGTATACAGCTTGAGTTCAGAGTGTTGAATATGTAAAATAATATGGTATTGGAGTAGAATCTTTTTTGGACTGGGGAAGCACAAGCACCTTTGTAACATTTGTCATTGTTTAAGACAAAACATGGTGGAGAAACTCATGTAACAAACTGTACTAGTTTTGGCAATTGGGACCATGCATTCTGTAGAAATCTAAGCCTGTCATGGTGTGGATTTTGTTATTTTGGACTTTAGCTTAATTTTGAAATCTGTTCTCTGTGCTTTGGTTTTAGTTTGACTTTGACGTCCTGTTTCCCCGGTCTTGATTGTCTGCCCCGCCCTAATGTGTTTCACCTGTGTCTCTGTCCATAATTACCCTGTGCTCCTCTCCTCTTGTTGCTGGTCCATTGTATACATAGTTCCCACAGACCAATGAATGTCACATGACCTCCTCGGAGACGCCATCTTTGATGGCACGCTGCTGTGTTTGTGCATTCCATTAAACAGAAGAATGAGAATAAATGTAGATATTCAAACGCAAATTGGAAAAAAAGGGCAACTTTTGAGCAAATAATTGTATATTAAATTAATACAATGGCACCACAGTTTAACGTGCTACGGACATGTTTTACATATTTGATCAAATTATGCAGCAAAAATTAACAAGCAATGCAAACATTTCTCAAAAACTTTAGATTTAATACCAGTTGGAGCTCCATTTAATTATTTTAATTATATTAACAATTAATTTAATTAATGCTAATGCCACACGGACACTCTGGATTGCTGTTATTGTTTATTTCCGCGTTTTTGACCGTATGTTTTGGTGAATGGTGGGCAACTGATTTTTCCAGGCGTAAAGAGCAGTTTATTTTATGACACAGATCTTTTTACAGAAGCAATGCTGTTTGTGAACATTGTTTTAGCCCACCATAGAACTATTATTATCTATTTAATACATTTACGTTGCCCTCGAGAGCCTCGGACGCGACACCGATCCTCCTCATAATAAAGTAATCTAACGCTAAATAATGAAACTCTCAAGTTACCAGCTATCAGCATACACAAGTTAGTACTGAGTAAATTACGTCTGTCAACACATTATGAGATACGATACGCACCTGACACAAAGTGCTCCGAGCATATTCTTGCGTGTTTTGAGGGAGTTTCTTGCCTGTTTATCTTCGCAAGCCATAACCTCCGTCGTTGTTCTGACAAAAGCTTAGTCTTCTCACATTCATGAAGTCTAATGATGGGTATACTGTAAAATCCAAGTTTAACGGAACCTCCGGCACGATTTGAACATCCATTGACCCAGCAGGAGATGACCATTTTCAACTTTATCACGACATTAACACGTTTCAGCTTCTTTTTCTATTGTTTTGCCCACAGAATGCCAAGACAAATGGCGCCGGGTCGGCAAATCCCCGTATGTAGTGACGTCATGTGGGAACTATGTATTGTCAACTTCTGTTCCGTCCTGTTCCTGTTT